CAAGATGGGGTCTTCAAACATGGCATGTCAAGGGAACTGTACTGTTCAGATGGGTTAAATGGAAACTGAAATCTGGACACCGACTGTAGGTCTATTACTGCTCACATAGCCTAATATAAATAAAATAAAATAAAATGTTATTTGTCACATGCACCGAATACAACAGGTGTAGACCTTACCGTGAAATACTTACTTACAAGCCCCTAGCCAACAATGCAGTTTTAAGAAAAATAAGAGTTAAGAAAAAATATTTACTAAATAAACTAAAGTAAAAAATAAAAGAGCAACAATAAAATAACAATAACGAGGCTATATACAGGTGGTACCGGTACCGAGTCAATGGGGGTCAATTCAAATATTCCGGGTAGCCATTTGATTAGCTGTTCAGCAGTCTTATGGCTTGGGGGTAGAAGCTGTTCAGAAGCCTTTTGGACCTAGACTTGGCGCTCCGGTACCGCTTGCCGTGCGGTAGCAGAGAGAACAGTCTATGACTAGGGTGGCTGGAGTCTTTGGCAATTTGTAGGGCCTTCCTCTGACACCGCCTGGGTTAGAGGTTCTGGATGGCAGGAAGCTTGGTCCCAGTGATGTACTGGGCCGTACGCACTACCCTCTGTAGTGCCTTGCGGTCGGAGGCCGAGCAGTTGCCATACCAGGCGGTGATGCAACCAGTCAGGATGCTCTCGATGGTGCAGCTGTATAACTTTTTGAGGATCTGAGGACCCAAGTAGGTGTTCCTTCAGGTGTTCCATGTCAAATCTTTTCAGTCTCCTGAGGGGGAATAGGCGTTGTCGTGCCCTCTTCACGACTATCTTGGTGTGTTTGGACCATGACACCAAGGAACTTGAAGCTCTCAACCTGCTCCACTACAGCCCCGTCGATGAGAATGGGGGCGTGATCGGCCCTCCTTTTCATGTAGCCCACGATCATCTCCTTTGTCTTGATCACGTTGAGGGAGAGGTTGTTGTCCTGGCACCACACTTCCAGGTCTGAACAGGGAGTACAGTAGGGGACTAAGCACGCACCCCTGAGGGGCCCCCGTGTTGAGGATCAGCGTGGCAGATGTGTTGTTACCTACCCTTACCACCTGGGGGCGGCCCGTCAGGAAGTCCAGGATCCAGTTGCAGAGGGAGGTGTTTAGTCCCAGGGTCCATAACTTAGTGATGAGCTTTGAGGGCACTATGGTGTTGAACTCTGAGCTGTAGTCAATGAACAGCATTCTCACGTAGGTGTTCCTTTTGTCCAGGTGGGAAAGTGCAGTGTTGAGTGCAATAGAGATTGCGTCATCTGTGGATCTGTGGTATGCAAATTGGACTGGGTCTAGTTTCTGTGATGATAGTGTTGATGTGAGCCATGACCATCCTTTCAAAGCACTTCATGGCTACAGACGTGAGTGCTACGGGTCGGTAGTCATTTAGGCAGGTTACCTTGGTGTTCTTGGGTACAATGGTGGTCTGCTTGAAACATGTAGGTATTACAGACTCGGCCAGGGACAGGTTGAAAATGTCAGTGAAGACACTTGCCAGTTGGTCAGCGGATGCTCGGAGTACACATCCTGGTAATCCATCTGGCCCTGTGGCCTTGTGAATGTTGACCTGTTTAAAGGTCTTACTCACATCGGCTACGGAGAGCGTGATCACACAGTCGTCCGGAACAGCTGGTGCACTAAGGCATGCTTCAGTGTTGCTTGCCTCGAAGCACATAGTCATTTAGCTCGTCTGGTAGGCTTGTGTCACTGGGCAGCTCGCGGCTGGGCTTCCCTTTGTAGTCCGTAATAGTTTGCAAGCCCTGCCACATCCGACGAGCATTGGAGCCGGTGTAGTTGGATTAAATCTTAGTCCTGTATTTACGCTTTGCCTGTTTGGTCCTCTGTAGCTCAGCTGGTAGAGCACGGCGCTTGTAACGCCAAGGTAGTGGGTTCGATCCCCGGGACCACCCATACACAAACATTTATGCACGCATGACTGTAAGTCGCTTTGGATAAAAGCGTCTGCTAAATGGCATATTATTATTATTATTATTATTATTGATAGTTTGTCTGAGGGCATAGCAGGATTTCTTATAAGCGTCTGGGTTAGAGTCCCGCTCCTTGAAAGCGACAGCTCTACCCTTTAGCTCAGTGCGGATGTTGCCTGTAATCCATGGCTTCTGGCTGGGGTATATACCTACGGTCACTGTGGGGACAACGTCAGCGATGCACTTATTGATGAAGCCGGTGACTGATGTGGTATACTCCTCAATGCCATCAGATGAGTCCCGGAACATATTCCAGTCTGTGCTAGCAAAACAGTCCTGTAGCTTAGCATCTGCCTCATCTGACCACTTCCGTATGGAGCGAGTTACTGGTACTTCCTGCTTTAGTTTTTGCTTGTAAGCAGGAATCGGGAGGATATAATTATGGTCAGAATTTCCAAATGGAGGGCGAGGGAGAGCTTTGTACGCGTCTCTGTGTGTGGAGTAAAGGTGGTCTAGAGTTTTATTTCCTCTTGTTGCACATGTAACATGCTGGTAGAAACCTAACAAACGGAATAAACATTTGGTCAAGTTCAGGTCAAGAAGAGCTTGCATTTGACCCTGTTTGGAGTCGACTGAAAGAGACATTGATTTTCATGAAGGAAGGCGAAAGGGAAGCAAGTCTTATTTCTGGATAATTTATTTTTTAACAGGATAGTTTCTTTCACAGTACAACTATAACCGACCTACACAATATCCTGCAATTTTTTAAAAATATCAACAATTTAAACCCACACAAAAGACAAATGTAACATAATCCCTTCAGAAATGCACTTTGACTACTAATTCAAGTATCCAACAAAATGTATGTGGTTCTAGAAATTGTAAAAATAATAAAATAAATGTTTTAAATAAAACTGTATGAGAAACCTGAGGAGGGAGAATTGCTGGTGCTTGTAGACGAGTTGCACATCCATGATTTGATACTTATTACACACTACCCCTGCAATCTACTCCCAAATGCATGTCAAAAATGTTATAAATTGATTTGCATTTTAATGAGGGAAATAAGTATTTGACCCCTCTGCAAAACATGACTTAGTACTTGGTGGCAAAACCCTTGTTGGCAATCACAGAGGTCAGACGTTTCTTGTAGTTGGCCACCAGGTTTGCACACATCTCAGGAGGGATTTTGTCCCACTCCTCTTTGCAGATCTTCTCCAAGTCATTAAGGTTTCGAGGCTGACGTTTGGCAACTTGAACCTTCAGCTCCCTCCACAGATTTTCTATGGGATTAAGGTCTGGAGATTGGCTAGGCCACTCCAGGACCTTAATGTGCTTCTTCTTGAGCAACTCCTTTGTTGCCTTGGCCATGTGTTTTGGGTCATTGTCATGCTGGAATACCCATCCACGACCCATTTTCAATGCCCTGGCTGAGGGAAGGAGGTTCTCACCCAAGATTTGACGGTACATGGCCCCGTCTATCGTCCCTTTGATGCGGTGAAGTTGTCCTGTCCCCTTAGCAGAAAAATACCCCCAAAGCATAATGTTTCCACCTCCATGTTTGACGGTGGGGATGGTGTTCTTGGGGTCATAGAAAGCATTCCTCCTCCTCCAAACACGGCGAGTTGAGTTGATGCCAAAGAGCTTCATTTTGGTCTCATCTGACCACAACACTTTCACCCAGTTCTCCTCTGAATCATTCAGATGTTCATTGGCAAATTTCAGACGGGAATGTATATGTGCTTTCTTGAGCAGGGGGACCTTGCGGGCGCTGCAGGATTTCAGTCCTTCACAGCGTAGTGTGTTACCAATTGTTTTCTTAGTGACTATGGTTCCAGCTGCCTTGAGATCATTGACAAGATCCTCCCGTGTAATTCTGGGCTGATTCCTCACCGTTCTCATGATCATTGCAACTCCACGAGGTGAGATCTTGGCTCCATGCAGGCCGAGGGAGATTGACAATTATTTTGTGTTTCTTCCATTTGCGAATAATCGCACCAACTGTTGTCACCTTCTCACCAAGCTGCTTTGCGATGGTCTTGTAGCCCATTCCAGCCTTGTGTAGGTCTACAATCTTGTCCCTGACATCATTGGAGAGCTCTTTGGTCTTGGCCATGGTGGAGAGTTTGGAATCTGATTGATTGCTTCTGTGGACAGGTGTCTTTTATACAGGTAACAAACTGAGATTAGGTGCACTCCCTTTAAGAGTGTGCTTCTAATCTCAGCTCGTTACCTGTATAAAAGACACCTGGGAGCCAGAAATCTTTCTGATTGAGAGGGGGTCAAATACTTATTTCCCTCATTAAAATGCAAATCAATTTATAACATTTTTGACATGCGTTTTTCTCGATTTTTGTTGTTGTTATTTTGTCTCTCACTGTTCAAATAAACCTACCATTAAAATTATAGACTGATCATTTATTTGTCAGTGGGCAAAGTTACAAAATCAGCAGGGGATCAAATACTTTTTTCCCTCACTGTACACATCCTCCGTTACACTTTACACACAAGGGATCATTCAGTAAGAAACAGGGTTGGGGTCAATTCAATTTTCAAATCAATCAGTACATTTAGGAAGTTAATTAAAATTCAATTAAATGTAACATTTACAATTAGAATTTTTCACTTCCTCAGTTGATGGAATTAAAATGTGAACTAACCCCAACCCTGAAGAAGAGTCAACTTCTCTGTGCATGACGTCAGGCTGAAAGCCTGACAGAGGTTTCAACCTCCAACATGAAATGTGATCCTTAGGCCTACAAGTTTAAACCAAGTCCAACTTGAGCCAGAGCGATTGAGCAATGGTGTTAAAAATTCAGCTAATACAATCCACAACCAAACGAAACAAACACACATCTATTGCCCTCACTCAGATAGAAGCTAGCCTGATCCGAGATCTGTTTTTCCGCTCTAGCTAACTCCTATAACAGTGACCATAGGAGTTGGCGAGACAGCTAAAACAGATCTGGGACCAGGAAAATGAGGAGCTTCTTCACACCTTTCTCCTATCAGGGTGTAAAGTACATCTCTTTGGTCAGCATTGATACGATGCAGGGGATCTGCTTCTTGGCATCGAAGCCGGGAGAGTTTGACACAGACTCAAACTCTGTCGCCACCTTGTGGTTGACCCGGGTCAGGATGTGTTGGACCTCCAGCTCTTTGCTGTACTTGCCAATCATCTCACACAGCGATTGGATGAACCAGGAGCCAGTCTGCGTGTTCCTCCACGAGTAGTAGCCTGTGGGAAGATGTGTGAGCGCGCATAAGAGTCAATGGCATGGTTTGAATAATTCAGAAAATGCACTCTTGCTCAAGATAATAACAGATCTGAATTGGATGGATTGGTATAAGTAAGAGGGTGGTAGCCTTGCTTTCACAGATCCAACTACTTATAGATCTGTGCATACCTCAAGGAAACAAGGCAACTTGACTGGAGAGTGCGTCTATGTGTGTGTGTGTGTGTGTGGCTTTGGAACATGTCTTGGACCTGGAGCTGTGGAGTAGGCATAGAGGAAGTCTGCTTCCACAGGGATCCTGGTCGAGCTCCCATCTGAACTGCTGTCTGCCTCGATGCCCCCGTCCAGATCAGTACCTCTGCAAGCCTGCTTGCCACACACACACAGGGGAACAATCCCTCACCACTTGACTGTGGACGAGATTAACCTGTTTTGTCAGTAGGGGATTAAATGAACCTCTATCTTATACCTTCTTTTGACCTTAACTTCATATTGTTGTTCTAGTGCATTTGTTTCACTTTAATTCCATCTAGAAAACAAAAACCCCAAACAGGTGCAACGGCTTTGTAAACCTGCTTTTAAAAGCATGTGATGGCCACAGTACCTGGATGAAGAAGAGTTTGGGCTTGCCCACCAGCGAGTTGCAGCGGTCGCCCCGGAACAGGCTGGTGAGGCTCTTGAGTTCGATGGAGGCATCCGTTCCGAAGAACACGCCATGGTCCCCGTGACTCAGCAGGACGCACACGAATGAGGCAGAGCGGCTGTGGTCCTCCTTGGAGGCTGCAAACACATCATCAAGTTTTAGGTTGGTCCTTCACAGAATTGACAAGGCTCTTTAAAGGAGCAATCTGCTGTTGCTACATCAATTTCTGGACTTATAAATCATTGATTATTGATGTACCCATTGATTCTTGAAGAACATAACATAAATTCCTCATGAGCTTAGTTCCCCTGTCGTAATCCATCAGAACCCAAAATATAATCTTGCTTTACTTCAATGTTTGTAAACAAAGTAAATGTAAACTAACACTGTACAGCATTTTAAAACATGGTTAAAACTATAACGTTGATATCATGGTTGGTCAGTCCTTGCATCCATAGCTCTGTCTATGAGTTTGAGAATGGTTACATTTCTTCAGCCCCATCTCTCAGCTTTTTACCGAAACATGGTGGGGAGTCGTTTTGTTATTGTTTCAACTACGGATTGCCCCTTTAAAGGTAGACACAAGAGCAGTATTGGTACAATTTCCAGAACAACAAGTGGGAAGTGAGACGCTAATTTTCACCACCATTGTTTTCACACAGCTATCATGTTTCAGGTGAGTGAATGAAGCGCACCAGTGCACATATGCAGATACTGTGAGAGCGGATCGTTTTGCATCGCGCTCATCTGCAATGTCTTTGGTTAACCCTGTTGCTCGTGGCAACGTCATATTGTTGATTCTCAGTTTATGTACAGGGGACCATGTACTTCTACTTGTTTTTATTATGAATGGGCTGCTTTTAAAACTTAATTTACTGAATGTCTTCTGTGTATGATCTTTATACAAAGACAAACCTATCTTCGTGGTGGTTGTCAGTGGTGGTCCTGACTTTCGAACATGCTTACCTGTGGTTAAAACATGCTTGATCTGGTCCACTGTCTGGTCGTTGTAAACCTTCACCTTATAACCCAGTTTCCCAAACACCTTCATCACGTTGCCTGCATCCACATCTGTGCCATTGCGTACATTCATACCTTTGAAAAACAAAGTCAAGTTATTTGACTAATTATATTTGCTTTCTGGATGTGTAATGTGTGTCATCACTGTGTAAAGGCATACAGCCTTTACACAGTAGTGGATAAAGTACCCGATTGTCATACTTGAGTAAAAGTAAAGATACCTTAATAGAAAATGACTCAAGTAAAAGTGAAAGTCACCCAGTAAAATAGTCCTTGAGTAAAACTCTAAAAGTGTTGGGTTTTAAATATACACTACCGGTCAAGATTTTTAGAACACCTATTCATTCAAGGGTTCTTAATTTTTTTTACTATTTTCTACATTGTAGAATAATAGTGAAGACATCAAAACTATGAAATAACACATATGGAATCATGTAGTAACCAAAAAAGTGTTAAACAAATCAAAATATATTTTATATTTGAGATTCTTCAAATAGCCACCTTTTGCCTTGATGACAGCTTTGTTCACTCTTGGCATTCTCTCAACCAGCTTCATGAGGTAGTCACCTGGAATGCATTTCAATTAACAGGTGTGCCTTCTTAAAAGTTAATTTGTGGAATTTCTTTCCTTCTTCATGCGTTTGAGCCAACCAGTTGTGTTGTGACAAGGTAGGGGGGTATACAGAAGATAGCCCTATTTGGTAAAAGACCAAGTCCATATTATGGCAAGAACAGCTCAAATAAGCAAAGAGAAACAACAGTCCATCATTACTTTAAGACATGAAGGTCAGTCAATATGGAACATTTCAAGAACTTTGAAAGTTTCTTCAAGTGCAGTTGTAAAAACCATCAAGCGCTATGATGAAACTGGCTCTCATGAGGACCGCCACAGGAATGGAAGACCCAGAGTTACCTCTGCTGCAGAGGATAAGTTCATTAGAGTTACCAGCCTCAGAAATTGCAGCTCAAATAAATGCTTCACAGAGTTCAAGTCACAGACACATCTCAACATCAACTGTTCAGAGGATACTGTGTGAATCAGGCCTTCATGGTCGAATTGCTGCAAAGAAACCACCACTAAAGGACACGAATAAGAAGAAGAGACTTGCTTGGGCCAAGAAACACGAGCAATGGACATTACACCGGTGGAAATGTGTCCTTTGGTCTGGAGTCCAAATTGGAGATTTCTGGTTCCAACCGCCGTGTCTTTGTGAGACGCGGTGTGGGTGAACGGATGATCTCCGCATGTGTATTTCCCACCGTAAAGCATGGAGGAGGTGTTGTTATGGTGTGGGGGTGCTTTGCTGGTGACACTGTCTGTGATTTATTTAGAATTCAAGGCACACTTAACCAGCATGGCTGCCACAGCATTCTGCAGCGATACGCCATCCCATCTGGTTTGGGCTTAGTGGGACTATCATTTGTTTTTCAACAGGACAATGACCCAACACACCTCCAGGCTGTGCAAGGGATATTTTACAAAGAAGGAGAGTGATGGAGTGCTGCATCAGATGACCTGGCCTCCACAATCCCCCGACCTCAACCAAATTGAGATGGTTTGGGATGAGTCGGACCGCAGAGTGAAGGAAAAGCAGCCAAGAAGTGCTCAGCATATGTGGGAACTCCTTCAAGACTGTTGGAAAAGCATTACAGGTGAAGCTGGTTGAGAGAATGCCAAGAGTGTGCAAAACTGTCATCAAGACAAAGGGTGGCTATTTGAAGAATCTCAAATATAAAATATACACTGCTCAAAAAAATAAAGGGAACACTAAAATAACACATCCTAGATCTGAATGAATGAAATAATCTCATTAAATACTTTTTTCTTTACATAGTTGAATGTGCTGACAACAAAATCACACAAAAAGTATCAATGGAAATCAAATGTATCAACCCATGGAGGTCTGGATTTGGAGTCACCCTCAAAATTAAAGTGGAAAACCACACTACAGGCTGATCCAACTTTGATGTAATGTCCTTAAAACAAGTCAAAATTAGGCTCAGTAGTGTGTGTGGCCTCCACGTGCCTGTATGACCTCCCTACAACGCCTGGGCATGCTCCTGATGAGGTGGCGGATGGTCTCCTGAGGGATCTCCTCCCAGACCTAGACTAAAGCATCCGCCAACTCCTGGACAGTCTGTGGTGCAACGTGGCGTTGGTGGATGGAGCGAGACATGATGTCCCAGATGTGCTCAATTGGATTCAGGTCTGGGGAACGGGCGGGCCAGTCCATAGCATCAATGCCTTCCTCTTGCAGGAACTGCTGACACACTCCAGCCACATGAGGTCTAGCATTGTCTTGCATTAGGAGGAACCCAGGGCCAACCGCACTAGCATATGGTCTCACAAGGGGTCTGAGGATCTTATCTCGGTACCTAATGGCAGTCAGGCTACCTCTGGCGAGCACATGGAGGGCTGTGCGGCCCCCCAAAGAAATGCCACCCCACATCATGACTGACCCACCGCCAAACCGGTCATGCTGGAGGATGTTGCAGGCAGCAGAACGTTCTCCACGGCGTCTCCAGACTCTGTCACGTCTGTCACGTGCTCAGTGTGAACCTGCTTTCATCTGTGAAGAGCACAGGGCGCCAGTGGCGAATTTGCCAATCTTGGTGTTCTCTGGCAAATGCCAAACGTCCTGCACGGTGTTGGGTTGTAAGCACAACCCCCACCTGTGGATGTCGGGCCCTCATACCACCCTCATGGAGTCTGTTTCTGACCGTTTGAGCAGACACATGCACATTTGTAGCCTGCTGGAGGTCATTTTGCAGGGCTCTGGCAGTGCTCCTCCTGCTCCTCCTTGCACAAAGGCGGAGGTAGCAGTCCTGCTGCTGGGTTGTTGCCCTCCTACGGCCTCCTCCACATCTCCTGATGTACTGGCCTGTCTCCTGGTAGCGCCTCCATGCTCTGGACACTACGCTGACAGACACAGCAAACCTTCTTGCCACAGCTCGCATTGATGTGCCATCCTGGATGAGCTGCACTACCTGAGCCACTTGTGTGGGTTGTAGACTCCGTCTCATGCTACCACTAGAGTGAAAGCACCGCCAGCATTGAAAAGTGACCAAAACATCAGCCAGGAAGCATAGGAACTGAGAAGTGGTCTGTGGTCACCACCTGCAAAACCAGTCCTTTATTGGGGGTGTCTTGCTAATTGCCTATAATTTCCACCTGTTGTATATTCCATCTGCACAACAGCATGTGAAATTTATTGTCAATCAGTGTTGCTTCCTAAGTGGACAGTTTGATTTCACAGAAGTGTGATTGACTTGGAGTTACTGTGTTGTTTAAGTGTTCCCTTTATTTTTTTGAGCAGTGTATTTTGATTTGTTTAACACTTTTTTGGTTACTACATGATTCCATATGTGTTATTTCATAGTTTTGATGTATTATTCTACAATGTAGAAAATAGTAAAAATAAAGAAAAACCCTTGAATGAGTAGGTGTTCTAAAACTTTTGACCAGTAGAGTACTTAAGTATCAAATGTAAATGTAATTGCTAAAATATACTTAAGTATCAAAAGTACAAATATAAATCATTTCAAATTCCTTATATTAAGCAAACCAGACGGAACATTTATTTTATTTTATGGCTAGCCAGGGGCACACTCAAACACTCAGACATCATTTACAAAGGAAGCATGTGCGTTTAGTGAGTCCTCCAGATCAGAGGTAGTAGGGATGACCAGGGATGATCTCTTGGTAAGTACGTGAATTGGACAATTTTCCTGTTCTGCTAAGCATTCAAAATGTAACAAGTAATTTTGGGTGTCGGGGAAAATGTATGGAGTAAAAAGTACATTATTTTCTTTAGAAATGTAGTGAAGTAAAAGTTGTAGAAAATATGAATAGTAAAGTAAAGTACAAATACCCACAAAAATGACTTAAGTAGTACTTTAAAGTATTTTTTACTTAAGTTCTTTACACCACTGCCTTTACACATATTCTTACAGTAGTAACCCAGCAGACAAAGCTGGGTGAGGTAATGTCATTACAACCAGTTTTCATAATCAGGTTATAATTATGTAATTTCAACTAGTTTCACCCACTGGGAAGAAACTGAACAACAAGCTTTATGCAAATACAAAACATCAGTATTAGACATAGCCTAGACCTGGAAAAACATCACCCTATGTCTACAAATGAACAAACACAATACCTGTTCTTCTGTCAAAGTTCTTGTTGTTGATGATGATACACTGGCCAATGCTGGCGTAGCTGAGGCTGTACCTGAAGCTATGGGATTGAGGTTTGGCGTCCACCTGCATAGATCCAGAGCCACCACAGGGGCCCTCTGACCTAGGAAATAATCAAATAGATGCCACTTAGCAGATGCTTTCTTCCAAAGTCACTTACAATCCAGTGATTGCATAGCCTACATTTTTGTGTGTGTATGTTATCCCTCTGAGAATTGAACCTACGACTTTGTCATTAGTAGCTCTTACCAACTGAGCCACACAGGACCACTAGTTAGATCACAGCAATATGCCAAGCTGTTACTCTGTGCAAGTCAGATCTGGGCTCGGATACACGTGAACTGTTTAAATACTTTTGAGCATCCTTCCCTCAAAGTAATCACCGATCAGACGTGGATTGTGTGGAAGCTGTGAGGTGGTACCCTTACTTTTCACCTGTAGAATAATCAGATCAGTGATTACTTTAAGGGAGGAAGGAAGAATGCATTTCAAAAGCATTTCCCAGGCAGGCCCTTAACCCAAAATAGTCCCAGGGGTGTTGCCATGTGGCTGACCCTGTGCCTTCTCTCTCTCTCCCTTGGACTGTTAGCCATATCTATGACTAAAAAGAGAATACGTTTTACAGAAGAGATACAATAGATCTCCTATTGTAAAAACGTATCTTTTTAGTCATAGATATGGCTGAGTGTGTGTGTGTGTGTGTGTGTCAACTATAGGCGTGACACAATAACAATTTTGGCAATTTCCAGTATGTAGTATAGCTATACTGGCCATGGACCAAATATGGGCATCAGACTGCACGACCACAAGTAACAATGTAGCCGAATGTCATGATTTCATTACAATGATTGTTAATGTCTGGTGAATATCGAAACTCAAACCAATTTTACAACGGTTTGCTAGGCTACTTCGTAAAATGCATGGATTGTGATAACAAAGAATCTCACTCTTGTCCATCGCCCCGCCTGGCGTCAATGCAGTCCCCAGCACTCAAATCGTTTGCTACTGACATGGTATTCTGCGAATCGATAAAAAAAAATGTCGGTGATTATATAAAAATGTTGGTAGTAAAGTTTTGGTCAGACCGTGCAAATTGCCACACTTCTATCAGCCAATATACTGTATGCGCATCTCTTCCTGGAGTTCTTTGTTACAAACAACAATCAGCAACCAACCAATAGTAGCGTCCGTAGTAAACAATATTAGGTTACGGCAAGGCAAGGGGGCGTTCGGTTTCCACACTTCCACACCACTCATATGATCCCATCTAAAAATGATATTAATAATAATAAACGTGGACATATAACTTGTGGCTCCATATTGGTGGCCATATGCATTTGTAATATTTAATATCCATATTGCACGAATTCAGCTTATGAGACAAAAGTATAATGTGCTCAACTATTTGGAAAGTAAGGCACACTTCTAGCGCACTGGAACGCGCCATACTTTCTTCCATGGCTACGTCACTTTTCGCAGCAAAAACAACGTTTTCATCACGGGTTCCTGTACGTAGATAGATTCTGTTCCTGCTGTAAGTCGAATTCTGTAACGTTAAATAGCTAGCTAGCTAGCTAATTAGCTTAGCTTAGCAAACGTTAAGCAGGTTTTACATATTATTATACATTTTAGTGGTACTAGCATTAACAACATGACATATTAAACTAAACTCCGGCTAAATGTGTAGTGTGTATGGCTAGTCTGATTTCATCAGGCTGTAATACACAATTAATTGGTACCAATTAATACACAATTTAATGCTTGTAAACAAACAGTGAATGTAACTAAAACAATCATGTCATTCTCATGGGCTGTCAGTCCATGTATCCAATGTGTATGAATTTGAAAGTTGGCCCTAGCGAGCTGCATTTGTCCAGCCACATCCCATCCATTCTCTGCTAGGCCTAATAATGATGGGGCTTCACAATCACATTCTTGTGAATGTAAAATCAGAGATTGATCCATAGGTCTATTGTAATGCCTGCAGTATCGATCATTGCTAAGTTAGATATTAATAACACTCACACTCCTACATTAAAGTAATCAAATACTAGTTTTTTTTATTTCTTACATGCAGAAATGACTGTGGTGGCAGCCAGCATCACATAGAAAATGAACAAGGGTGATTGGGGAAACAGATTGAAGAAGGTGGAACAACTAGCTCAGTCCTTCCAGCAGTGTCCTTTGTCCTCGCGCTACAAACCTAGGCTGTCCAGGCCATGGCAGCCGTCCTCCATATGGAAGCTCTTCCCTCGTCAATGTATGGCTATCAACTTTGGCCAGAGTTGCAGAGAGGTATGTACCAGCATGTCTGGAGTAACATGGTGCCAGATCCGTTTGTGCTGTCTTGCTGTCATGTTTGACATTGACCATAGGATTTGACAAGACAGCACAAACAGATCTGTGACCAGGCTACTGTATGTCTGGAGGACTTTGTGTCCTTTTGTGTGATGTGTGTGTTTCATTGCACTTCCATGGGTCATAATAACAGAAAAAATACATTGTTTTCAGCTAACTGTAGTTTTGACTGCCCTCTAATTCAAAGGACGTACACGTGTTTGCACTTGAGAAGGAACAGGCCAAGATGGGTCAGAGGATCTTCCTGGTCACCAGTTACAGTGAGCTATGGCATTACTACAGGTATGTATAAGGTAACACCATTCACTTCAATAAAACTTTATTTATACCTTCAGTTAAGAAATAGGAAAGTCCCATTTGTCATAGCTGAAGATTGTTAACCAATGGTACTACTGCACTTTCAATTTCAACTGTAATCAGTACCTACAGGCAATCCCTGATGCATTGCTATGAGGTGATCCCCGAGGGGGCCGTTTGCAAGCTGTATTTTGACTTGGAGTTCCACAGGCCCTCCAATAAGGGCTTTGATGGGAAGTGCATGGTGGCCTCCCTCATCCAGGTACGCAAACATTGAATGTTTCCTTCCCTCTCAAGTGCAAAATAGACCTGGGTCAAATATGTTGTTTATGGTGTTAGTTATGTAATTGTTATGACAATTGACTTTACACTGACATGACACACACAATGTTTAGATCAGCCTATTGGCTAGGCAAACTAGCTAGCAAACTGGCTAAACAAATTAATGGTTTGTGGCATGACAGTGTAAAGTCAGTTGCCATAAGGTGAAACCAGCTGTCAAGTCGCTTTGGATAAAAGCGTCTGCTAAATGGCATATTATTAAGACTGTTTATGACATCTGTTATGTAATTGTTATGACAGTGTTATGTAGCCCTTATGGCGGGTTGTCCAAATAAAGTGTGATCCGTAGAAGGATGTTTTTTGCTGTACATTCTGAGGAATTAAATGTTAATGTAACCACTCTCAAATTCATAGACAGAGCTATGGATGCAAAGACTGACTTGCATAATTTTAATCATGTTTTGAGGCTATACAGTGTTCGTTTACAACTGCATTGTTTACAAACAATGGAGCAAAACAAGCTTATATTTTGGGTTCTGATGGGGTATGACAGTTGGACTAAGCTCATGTAGCAATCACAGATTGCCCCTTTAATATCGATGGTACATACTTCAACATGTTTATTAATATTTATATTTGGTAACGCTGTTCTCTCCTTCTGTGTGTTTACAGTATGTGTGTGAGAAGCTGGAGGAGGTGTATGGGATTGAGTGCTCTGGGAAAGATGTTCTGAACCTTGACTCCAGCACCGAGGAAAAATTCAGTCGCCATCTCATCTTCATTTTACCAAATGCAGCTTTTAAGGATAACCTACATGTCGGTACGTAATCTCCTACTGTCTCTGATGTAAAGTGGAAACGAGACAGTAGATAGAGATATATACACTGAACAAAAATATAAACGCAACATGTAAAGTGTTGGTCCCATGTTTCATGAGCTGAAATAAAATATCCCAGAAATGTTCTGTTGGCATGCTAACTGCAGGAATGTCCACCAGAGCTGTTGCCAGAGAATGTAATGTTAATTTCTCTACCATAAACCGCCTCCAACATCGTTTTAGAGAATTTTACAGTACGTCCAAACGGCCTCCCAACCGCAGACCATGTGTATGGCATCGTGTGGGCGAGCGGTTTGCTGATGTCAATGTTGTGAACAGAGTGCCCCATTGTGGCGGTGGGCTTATGGTATGGGCAGGCATAAGCTATGGACAACGAACACAATTGCATTTTATCAATGGCAATTTGAATACACAAAAATACCGTGACGAGATCCTGAGGCCCTTTTTTTTAAAGGTATCTGTGACCAACAGATGCATATCTGTATTCCCAGTCATGTGAAATTCATAGATTAGGGCCTAATGAATTTATTTCAATTTACTGATTTCCTCATATGAACTGTAATTCAGTAAAATCAATGAAATTGTTGCATGTTGCGTTTATATTTTTTTTCAGTATAGATACTAAACTTAACTTCACAATATTATTGCTTTATATTGGAGGTAGAAATAAAAATGCATTGTTTTCTAATCAATGTAGGCTCATGCTGATTAAAAAAGAATGCATTTGTCTTTTTTGAAAGGGCAATTTATCCATTTCCTTCTGAAGCCAGTGCTGAGCATGCATAGGAGGGGAAGTGAACTTGAGAATGACGTGGGTGGTGTCACAGAGGACAGTGGCAAAAGGTCTGTCCTTTGATGTTCTTAAACAAATTTTGGTAACACTTTATCGTATAATTCCAAAGGATTTAACGCAATTAGTAACTAAGAAACTAATTGATAGATACATTCAATACTACAACACAATACTAAAGAGTTCAGAGACACAAAAATAATAGGTGTCTTTGGGGTTTAGAAAAGTCAGGTCCATAATTATTGGCACACTTGATAAAGATGAGCAAAAAATACTATAAAATAAATAATACAAATACTGAGTTATATTGTATGTTCCAGAAAATTGTTAAATTGTATTTTATACTAATACAATTTGTTACGAACCCCGTGGCTTTAAACATCTAGGGTGGATGGAGAAGAGACCCGTAACATAAATCATGCAAATTAGAATCGTGACATGGAACAGGGAGAACAAAAACTACACAACAACCATAAACTACCGTCAAACATAAAAGGTTTATTGTTGAACACACGGTATAAGTTTGGGAAAAAGGGCTGAGCAGGACCCAAGAAATGAAACAATAGTGTAAAACACCCCTAAACTGATCTTGCCTGCCTCAAGAACCGCTAAGCTACTGCTAATCATAAAAAGTACAGTGGGTGGTCCGCTCAGGTCTAACTAGTGTTTTTAGACAGTTTCCTTCCTACGAGTAATGTACGCCCAAGGGCAACTTGCTTAAATTCCCCTTTTCCCAGAAACACACAAAGTTACCAAACAGAGTAACCAGCAACTTAGTGAGTAAACAAAACACAGGACACCACAGTATCCATACTCACATACGGAAATAGTCTAACAAAGTTACCAAACAGAGTAACCAGCAACTTAGTGAGTAAACAAAACACAGGACACCACAGTATCCATACTCACATACGGAAATAGTCTCACAAAGTTACCAAACAGAGTAACCAGCAACTTAGTGAGTAAACAAAACACAGGACACCACAGTATCCATACTCACATACGGAAATAGTCTCTCTCAACAAACACAACTGACCGGCTTTTAAACAATGGGATGTGTGATGGAAAAACCAGCTACAGGTGGTGCAATGCAGAGGAATGTTCACTGATTGGTCCACCTTAGCAATCAGCAGACACCTCAACGACCACCAATCAGGAACATACAGGACACCTGTGATTAGGGCAGAAGGAGAGGAAAAACACAAAAAGACACAGGATACCTGTATCCGTAACACTCCCACCCTTAAAAGAGCAAACCACAATGGTTTGCGACACACCTACCATCACAACACCCAAAATTCAAAGATCATCCTGACGGGATAACAAAAGAAAACCTAGATCATTAAACACGAGACAAAGCATCTGCCAACACATTATCCAACCCCTTTTTGTGGCGGATCTCCAAATTATAATTTTGCACGACAAGTGCCCAACGCATAAGGCGTTGGTTCTGGTTGTACATCCGGTGGAGAAAAACTAAGGGGTTATGGTCAGTATACACTATCACTGGTAATGCACTGGAACCAACATAAACTTCAAAGTACTGCAGAGCTAACAACAAAGCTAGAGCTTCTTGTTCAATGTTGGAATAGTTTGTCTGACATTTGTTAAATTTCCGTGAAAAATAACAGACAGGATGGTCCACTCCACTCTGGTCCTGCTGCAGTAGAACAGCACCAGCACCTCTGGCACTTGCATCTACCTCCAGTTTAAACGGTCGTTCAAAATCTGGCGCAGCAAGAACAGGAGTACTACATAAGAGTGCTTTAGCAGTGTTGAAAGCAGTACGACAATCTTCAGACCATACAAATGTTCCCGCCGGACTGAGCAAATCCGTTAATGGAGCAACTACCGCAGAGAAATTTTTACAAAAACTACGGTAGTAGCCAACCATCCCTAAAAAGCGGCGTAGCTCTCTTCTGGTGGTAGGTGCGGGAAATGCATTTATAGCTGAGACCTTGGCATCTAGAGGGCGCACCTGACCATGGCCGACCTGTTTACCAAGATAAGTAACAGTGGCCTTCCCAAACTCGCACTTTGCTAAATTCAGGGTTAGAGAAGCGGCTGCTAGATGTTCAGACACTACCCTTAGAGTGTTAACATGATCAGACCACTCAGTTGAATAAATTACCAGATCATCAAGGTAAGCACTACAATTAGGAACTCCAGCCAATACTGTGTTAACCAGGCGTTGGAAAGTGGCTGGTGCGTTCCGCATCCCAAATGCCATGACAGCATATTGTAGGAAGTGATCTGGGGTCACAAAGGCAGAGATGTCGGAGGCACGTGAGGTTAACGGCACCTGCCAGTAACCTTTTAGAAGATCTAGTTTGGTTACATAAGTAGCAGCACCAACAGTATCAATACAGTCATCCAGTCTGGGTAACGGGAACGAGTCGGGCACTGTGACAGCATTGACCTTCCGATAGTCCGTACATAATCTGGATGTCCCATCAGGTTTAGGAACCAGAATGCACGGAGAACTCCAAGGACTTGAACTTGGCATAGCCAGGTTATTCTCCAGCAAATAACCGACCTCATCCCTCATTATCTTTCTTTTAGAGACGTTGACACGATAAGCATGTTGCTTGATAGGTGCAGCGTTTCCAACATTAATGTCATGTTCTAACACATTTGTGCATGTAGGAACATCATTAAAAAGACATGGAAAGCTGTGTAATAGTCTCACAATATCATCTGACTGTCTGTCCGTTAAATGAATCAGGCTTGACGGGAGAGACAGCAGCATCTCTGAATTGGGCAATCTAGCACACTGCTGCTGAGTATTGCGCAACTCCAAACCATCTCCGTCCACATCATTAACATGACCTCCCACTACAGCCGTAGCAGCAATAGGGACAGCCGACTCGGCCAGTTTCTCTGGACTGTCTATCTGAGTGACGGGTCTGGTGTGGTATGTCTTCAACATGTTAACGTGGCACACACGAGATTGGCGTTTTCTATCAGGAGTCTGTATCACGTAGTCAGTTTCACTTAGTTTCTTTTCAATGACATAAGGACCAGAGAAACGTGCTGACAATGACGCTCCTGGCACAGGCAACAATACAAGAACTTGGTCACCTGGCTGCAGTGAACGAGAAACAGCCTGTGTGTCATAGTGTCGTTTCATCCGTTTCTGTGAGGAAGACAGCGCTTCTTTTGCTAGAGCACAGGCACCATGTAGGCGCTCACGAAAGCGACTAACGTAGTCCAACACATTTTCTTTCACACACAACTCTTGTGATAATAACTGATCCTTAAGGACTTTCATAGGTCCTCTCATGGTGTGTCCAAACACCAGTTCAGCTGGGCTGAACCCTAAGGATTCCTGTACTGTCTCACGGACAGCAAACAAAACTAGAGGAACTCCCTCATCCCAATCCTTCTCAGATTCCAAGCAATATTTACGGAGCATAGACTTCAGTGTCTGATGCCAACGTTCAAGCGCACCCTGAGACTCTGGGTGATATGCGCTTGACACACGGTGTGTAACTGACAAGGATTTTAACACTTGTTTGAAAAGTTTAGAAAGGAAATTCGTACCCTGATCAGTTTGTATCACCTTAGGTAACCCAAAAGTTGAGAAGAATTTGATCAACGCTTTACTCACCACCGGAGCAGTAATCCTTCGCAGAGGAATGGCCTCTGGGTACCTGGTGGCCACACACATAATCGTCAACATAAACTGGTTACCAGATTTGGTCTTTGGTAATGGTCCAACACAATCAACCATCACATGTTCGAATGGTTCACCTATGGCAGGTATGGGACAAAGAGGCGCGGGAGGAATAACCTGGTTCGGTCTCCCAGTTACTTGACAGGTGTGGCAAGTCCGACAGAACTGAGCCACATCTTGTTTTAAACCAGGCCAAAAGAAATGTCGCAAAACTCGATCATAAGTCTTGGTGACTCCCAGATGTCCGGACCACTGGTGATCATGAGCGAGGGATAAAACATTTTGTCGAAAGGCTGTAGGAATCACTATTTGGTAAACAGCATTCCAATCTCCGCCAGCGTCAACATGGGATGTCCATTTACGCATGAGGAGATTACCATCAATGAAGTATGCCATGTTTTTCTTCTTTAGCTCCTCCTCTGAGACAACACTAGAAAAACATTTAGCCAGGCTAAGGTCAACCTTTTGGTTAGCGATCAGCTGCTCACGAGTAACTGGTAACTGTATTGCCTCAGCAACAAGTTCCACATCCTTCTTCCTTTCTCTGGACTGTTGGTCAGACTGCACCAGCTTACCAGAGGTAGCACCCGAACTATCCTCTGGGTCACACTCTCTGAATAGAATCGTGTTCGACAAATCTATCACTTCACCCACTTGTCGTGCTTGAGCACGTGTGACAGCACAAGCGGGGAACACATCTGGATAACCCTGTGCCAGCTCCTCGGAGAGAGACTGGTCACTTTTATCCAATACGGGTATCACCTTTCCTCCGGCAAAAGCAAGGTGATCTGTCTACTAATATCAAAAGTAGCAGACGACACAGCTGGTGAGGACGGCTCACTAGAAGACATAGTATGAGCAGAGACTAACCTCGCTGTTTCTGCCTCTAGTTCCATTTTACGCATCTCCAGTTCCATCTTACGCGTCTCCTGTTCTGCCTCTAGTTCCATCTTACGCGTCTCCAGCTTGTCTTGCCTGATCTGTGTTCGCTCTTCCGCCTCCATTTGGAGCCGTGTCGAGCGGACATCCATCCTGGCATCACTGTCAGTCAGTGGGGAGAGTGGGTCAAAACAGGGCAATGTGGCTGGAGCCTTAGCCTCGTCCTCAGACACCGATGGGCTTACAGGAGCAGCAACCACATCCCCTACAGGAGCAGCAGGGTCAAGCGGTGGTAATTCAAGCACTCGCTCGTTCAATAATATCTCTAACACTACTTCCCTAACTTCTGCTTTCACTAAACCCCTCGGTATGGGTACAGAAAAGTGGTCAGCCAAAACCTGTAGATCCACTCTACGGCAATTCTCAAAAACCTTCGACGTAGGGTTTTCCAAAAATGCATCCAACTCAAAAGTAGCCATCCTAAACTAGCAACACGAGCCGTCGAATACTGAACACAAAAAAAACAGGTAGTTACAGCTGCCAAGCTCAACACTGAACCAGACACTAACTAATTTGCATGAGTATCAATGAGATAGATCCCGGACGAGCCCCCACATTATGTTACGAACCCCGTGGCTTTAAACGTCTAAGGTGGATGGAGAAGAGACCCGTAACATAAATCATGCAAATTAGAATCGTGACATGGAACAGGGAGAACAAAAACTACACAACAACCATAAACTACCGTCAAACATAAAAGGTTTATTGTTGAACACACGGTATAAGTTTGGGAAAAAGGGCTGAGCACGACCCAAGAAATGAAACAATGGTGTAAAACACCCCTAAACTAATCTTGCCTGCCTCAAGAACCGCTAAGCTACTGCTAATCATACAAAAGTACAGTGGGTGGTCCGCTCAGGTCTAACTAGTGTTTTTAGACAGTTTCCTTCCTACGGGTAATGTACGCCCAAGGGCAACTTGCTTAAATTCCCCTTTTCCCAGAAACACACAAAGTTACCAAACAGAGTAACCAGCAACTTAGTGAGTAAACAACACACAGGACACCACAGTATCCATACTCACATACGGAAATAGTCTAACAAAGTTACCAAACAGAGTAACCAGCAACTTAGTGAGTAAACAAAACACAGGACACCACAGTATCCATACTCACATACGGAAATAGTCTCAAAAAGTTACCAAACAGAGTAACCAGCAACTTAGTGAGTAAACAAAACACAGGACACCACAGTATCCATACTCACATACGGAAATAGTCTCTCTCAACAAACACAACTGACCGGCTTTTAAACAATGGGATGTGTGATGGAAAAACCAGCTACAGGTGGTGCAATGCAGAGGAATGTTCACTGATTGGTCTACCTTAGCAATCAGCAGACACCTCAACGACCACCAATCAGGAACATACAGGACACCTGTGATTAGGGCAGAAGGAGAGGAAAAACACAAAAAGACACAGGATACCTGTATCCGTAACACAATTGCTCAGTGAAAGAGCCTTTGTTTAACAAGTAATACAAAAAATCTCAAGTATAGGGTTCAAAATAATTGGCACCCTTCTTTTCAGTACTCTAGCACCCTCCCCTTGTGAGGATATCCCCACTGAGCCTCATTCTAAAATGTTTAATAAGATTGGATTGAAGAGGGCAGACCATAAGAGCAGACAAAGGATATCAAGGATCTTGAAAGATTCTGTATGATTCTAAGATCCCTCCTAACGTGTTCTCCAATCTCATTAAACATTTTAGAAAAAGGCTCAGTGTTGTTATCGTCGCAACGGGAGGGTGCTAGAGTATTGAAAACGGGGGTGCCAATAATTTTGACCGCTGTCTTTTTTATTAAACAAAATCTATTTCTCTGTGCAGTTGTATTAGTATAAAATAAGATAATTTCTCAATTTTTCTGAGCATACAATATAGCTCAGTATTTGTATTATTTATTTTATACAGTCATTTATTGGTAATCTTTATCAAGGGTACCAATAATTATGGACCTGACTGTAAATCCTATGTATTATTATTATTACTATTAGGGGGCTGATTGGAAGTCCACAGGCCAAGAGGCCCAGACAGGAAGAGAGGGACCTCAGCTTCCTGTTGGTGAAAGACAAGGACGGACAGGAGGGGCTTTTTGTTGACCTCGGTAAGTGTCACCTAAAGTATCTTGAAAAGTCAATTTGACCTTTACTTTCAAATGAGGCTGAAATAGTCGATAAAAGCATTGAAAACAAATCTTTCTTATCTTTGCATTTTGTTCTGTTTTAGATTATTATATCTATTTTATTGCTGTGTTTGTCCATAATTTGTTTTTTGACAACCAGTTTGATTTATCTTGTCAATGCATTGTAAATTGTGTCAGTAATACTAATTTCCACTTGTTTGTGTTCATTTATGTTATAATGGATGAAATGTAGGTGTGTACACCAAGAACAGAAACTTCCGTCTCTACAAGTCATCCAAGGTGGGGAAGAATGCAGCCTTCACTGTTGCCGAGGACAACAAGTTCATCACCAAACCTAAAAGGAACGTCTCTGCAGAGGAGTGCTTCTTCCAGTCCTCCTTAATCAGCAACGTGAGGTATAGATGAAGTGAAGGGTGGAGTTGTCCCTAGATGCTGATCTTGGGTCAGTTAGCATTTCCCCCACTAATGGGCAGGTTGGCATTTATTGGGATGACTCATGGGATGGTGATCCTAGATCTGTACCTAGGGGAAACTTTACCCCAGAACTACAGGTGACTTGAATGTGTACTTCATTTTTTTTTTTATGCTATCACACAAGCCCACTGAATACTGGTTTCATCATGCGACAATAAGTGGGAGGAAGGAAGGGCAGGGGTGTGTGTTGAAGATTAACATTTGGATTGAGATGGAAGTGCTTGACTATTCAACATGCTTAATATTCCGACATGCTGCATAATATGTGTGACTAGGATAACATTTGTGTTGAATCTAATGATAATGAATGATTATGTCTTTTTCAATATTGGTTTGCAGTTTCACCGGTCAGAAGATTCTGACATGGGACCTCCATGAAGAGAGGGACGGGATATGCCCCAAGCCTCATGCTCAGCTGGGTTCGACTTCACACTGTGTTTCAGGTACTGACCCCCAGAAGACAGAGCTGTGTGTGTGTTGTGTGCGTGCAAAGTTGTTAATGGCCACACCCACACCAGGTGAATCATTCTTTCAAATATATTAGATTATTTATGCGAGCAAAGTTGTTAATGGCCTCACCCAAACCATGTGAATCATTCTATAAAATATATTAGATTATTTGTCACTGGCTTACACACAATACCCCATAATGTCAAGTGAAATTATGTTTTTAGAAATGTTTACAAATGAAAAGCTGAAATGTCTTGAGTCAATAGGTATTCAACCCCTTTGTTATGGCAAGCCTAAATAAGTTCAGGAATAACAATTTGCTTAACAACTCACATAATAAGTTGCATGGACTCACTGTGTGCTACCTCATCTCTGTACCCAACACATAAAGATAATTGTAAGGTCCCTCAGTTGAGCAGTGAATTCCAAACACAGATTCAACCACAAAGACCAGGGAGGTTTTCCAATGCCTCGCAAAATAGTGCACCTATTGGTAGATGGGTAAAAAAAAAAAATGCAGACATTGAATATCCCTTTGAGCATGGTGAAGTTATTAATTAGGCTTTGGATGGTGTGTCAATACACCTAGTCACTACAAAGATATAGGCATCCATCCTAACTCAGTTGCCGGATAGGAAGGAAACCACTCAGGGATTTCACCATGAGGCCAATGGTGACTTCAAAACAGTTACAGAGTTGAATGGCTGTGATAGGAGAAAACAATGGATCAACAACATTGTAGTAACTCCACAATACTAACCTAAATGACAAAGTGAAAAGAAGAAAGCATGTACAGAATAAAAAATAGGCAAAATCCTAGAGGAAAACCTCCTTCATTCTGCTTTCCACCAGACACTGGGAGATTAATTCACCTTTCAGCAGGACAATAACCTAAAACAAGGCCACATCTACACTGGAGTTGCTTACCAAGAAGACAGTAAATGTTCCTGAGTGGCCAAGTTACAGTTTTGACTTAAATCTACTTGAAAACCTTTGGCAAGACCTGGAAATGGTTGTCTAGCAATGATCAACAACCAATTTGACAGAGCTTGAACAATTTTGAAAAGAATAATGGGCAAATGTTGCACAATCCAGATGTGGAAAGCTCTTAGACTTATCCAGAAAGACTCAGGGGTGTGGATACTTATGTAAATTATTTCTGCATTTTATTTTAAATACATTTGCCAAAAAATTCTAAAAACATGTTTTCACTTTGTCATTATGAGGTGTTGTGTGTAGATGGGTGAGAAAAAAATATTTTTAATCCATTTTGAATTCAGGCTTTAACACAACAAAATGAGGAATAAGTCAAGGCGGCAGGTAGCTTAGTGGGTAAGAGCGTTGTGCCAGTAACCGAAAGGTCGCTGGTTCTAATCCCCGAGCCGACTAAGTCGCTCTGGGTGTGTGTGTGTACAAGTATATACAGTTGAAGTCGGAAGTTTACATACACCTTAGCCAAATACATTTAAACTCAGTTTTTCACAATTCCTGACATCTAATCCTAGTAAAACTTCCCTGTTTTAGGTCAGTTAGGATCACCACTTTATTTTAAGAATGTGAAATGTCAGAATAATAGTAGAGAGAATGATTTATTTCAGCTTTTATTTCTTTCATCACATTCCCAGTGGGTCAGAAGTTGCCTTTAAATTGTAGCATTGCCTTTAAATTGTTTAACTTGGGTCAAACGTTCCGTGTAACCTTCCACAAGCTTCCCACAATAAGTTGTGTGAATTTTGGCCCATTCCTCCTGACAGAGCTGGTGTAACTGAGTCAGGTTTGTAGGCCTCCTTGCTCGCACATGCTTTTTCAGTTCTGCTCACAGATTTTCTATAGGATTGAGGTCAGGGCTTTGTGATGGCCACTCCAATACCTTGACTTTGTTGTCCTTAAGCCATTTTGCAACAACTTTGGATGTATGCTTGGGGTCATTGTCCATTTGGAAGACCCATTTGCGACCAAGCTTTAACTTCCTGACTGATGTCTTGAGATTTTGCTTCAATATATCCACATAATTTTCCTTCCTCATGATGCCATCTATTTTGTGAAGTGCACCAGTCCCTCCTGCAGCAAAGCACCCCCACAGCATGATGCTGCCACCCCTGTGCTTCACGGTTGGGATGGTGTTCTTCGGCTTGCAAGCCTTCCCCTTTTTCCTCCGAACATAACGATGGTCATTATGGCCAAACAGTTCTATTTTTGTTTCATCAGACCAGAGGACATTTCTCCAAAAAGTACGATCTTTGTCCCCATGTGCAGTTGCAAACCGTAGTCTGGCTTTTTTATGGCGGTTTTGGAGCAGTGACTTCTTCCTTGCTGTGAGGCCTTTCAGGTTATGTCGATATAGGACTCGTTTTACTGTGGATATAGATACCTTTGTACCCGTTTCCTCCAGCATCTTCACAAGGTCCTTTGCTGTTGTTCTGGGATTGATTTGCACTTTTCGCACCAAAGTACGTTCATCTCTAGGAGACAGAACGCGTCTCCTTCCTGAGCGGTATGACGGCTGCGTGATCCCATGGTGTTTATACTTGCGTACTATTGTTTGTACAGATGAATGTGGTACCTTCAGGCATTTGGAAATTGCTCCCAAGGATGATCCAGACTTGTGGAGGTCTTGGCTGATTTTCTTTTGATTTTCTCATGATGTCAAGCAAAGAGGCACTGAGTTTCGAAGGTATGCCTTGAAATACATCCACAGGTAGACCTCCAATTGACTCAAATTATGTCAATTAGCCTATCAGAAGCTTCTAAAGTCATCATTTTCTGGAATTTTCCAAGCTGTTTAAAGTCACAGTCAACTTAGTGTATGTACAGTTCTGACCCACTGGAATTGTGATACAGTGAATTATAAGTGAAATAATCTGTTTGTAAACAATTGTTGGAAAAATTACTTGTGTCATGCGCAAAGTAGATGTCCGAACCGACTTTCCAAAACTATAGTTTGTTAACAAGACATTTTTGGAGTGGTTGAAAAACGAGTTTTAATGACTCCAACCTAAGTGTATGTAAACTTCCGACTTCAACTGTATATACAGTACCAGTCAAAACTTTGGACACACCTACTCATTCAAGGGTTTTTCTTTATTTTTACTATTTTCTACATTGTAGAATAATAGTGAAGACATCAAAACTATGAAATAACACATATGGAATAATGTAGTAACCAAAAAAGTGTTGAACAAATCCAAATATATTTGATATTTGATATTCTTCAGGTAGCCACCCTTTGCCTTTATGACAGCTTTGCACACTCTTGGCATTCTCTCAACCAGCTTCATGAGGTAGTCACCTGGAATGCATCTCAATTAACAGGTGTGCATTCTTTAAAAGTTAATTTGTGGAATTTCTTTCCTTCTTAATGCGTTTGAGCCAATCAGTTGTGTTGTGACAAGGTATGGGTGGTATACAGAAGATAGCCCTATTTGGTAAAAGACCAAGTCCATATTATGGCAAGAACAGCTCAAATAAGCAAAGAGAAACGACAGTCCATCATTACTTTAAGACATGAAGGTCAGTCAATACGGAAACTTTCAAGAGCTTTGGAAGTTTCTTCAAGTGCAGTTGCAAAAACCATCAAGCGCTATTATGAAACTGGCTCTCATGAGGACCACCACAGGAAAGGAAGACCCAGAGTTACCTCTGCTGCAGAGGATAAGTTCATTAGAGTTAACTGCACCTCAGATTGCAGCCCAAATAAATGCTTCACAGAGTTCAAGTAACAGACACATCTCAACATCAACTGTTCAGAGGAGACTGCGTGAATCAGGCCTTCATGGTCGAATTGCTGCAAAGAAACCACTACTAAAGGACACCAATGAGAATAAAAGACTTGCTTGGGCCAAGAAACACGAGACCGGTGGAAATCTGTCTTTTGGTCTGATGAGTCAAAATTTTGAGATTTTGGTTACAACCGCTGTGTCTTTGTGAGACGCAGAGTAGGTGAACGAATGATCTCTGCATGTGTGGTTCCCACCATGAAGCACGGAGAGGAGGAGGTGTGATGGTGTGGGGGGTGCTTTGCTGGTGACACTGTCAGTGATTTATTTAGAATTCAAGGCACACTTAACCAGCATGGTTACCACAGCATTCTGCAGCGATACGCCATCCCATCTGGTTTGCGCTTGTGGGACTATAATTTGTTTTTCAACAGGACAATGACCCAACTCACCTCCAGGCTGTGTAAGGGCTATTTTACCAAGAAGGAAAGTGATAGAGTGCTGCATCAGATGACCTGGCCTCCACAATCACCCGACCTCAACCCAATTGAGATGGTTTGGGATCAGTTGGACCGCAGAGTGAAGGAAAAGCAGCCAAGAAGTGCTCAGCATATGTGGGAACTCCTTCAAGACTGTTGGAAAAGCATTCCAGGTGACTACCTCATGAAGCTGGTTGAGAGAATGCAACACTGTCATCACGGCAAAGGGTGGCTACATTGAAGAATCTAAAATCTAAAACATATTTTGATTTGTTTGACTTTTTTTGTTACTACATGATTTCTTATGTGATATTTCGTAGTTTTAATGTCTTCACTATTATTCTACAATGTATTTTTTAATTGTATAAATAAAAACCCTTAAATGAGTAGGTGTGTCCAAACTTTTGGTTTTTGACTGGTAGTACATACAGTGAGGGAAAAAAGTATTTGATCCCCAGCCTATTTTGTATGTTTGCCCACTGACAAAGAAATGATCAGTCTAATAATTTTAATGGTAGGGTTTATTTGGAACATGAGAGAACAGAATAAACAACAAATAAATCCCAGAAAAACGAATGTCCAACCAAAGATGTTATAAATTGATTTGCAGTTTAATGAGGGAAAAAGTATTGAACCCCCCTCTTCAATCAGAAAAGATTTCTGGGTCCCAGGGGTGTCTGTTATACCAGGTAACAACTGAGATTAGGAGCACACTCTTACAGGGAGTGCTCCTAATATCATCTTGTTACATTTATAAAATGACACCTGTCCACAGAAAGCAATCACTCAATTCAGATTCAAACTCTCCACCATGCCCAGACCAAAGAGCTCTCGAAGAATGTCAGGGACAAGATTGTAGACTACACAATGGGCCCTGGAGTGCCTAGCCAGTTCCAGATCTCAACCCATGAAAATCTTGGGGGAGTTGAAATCCGTGTTGCCAGCGACAGCCCAAAACATACTGCCTAGAGGAGATCTGCATGGAGGAATGGGCCAAAATACCAGCAACAGTGTGTGAAAACCTTGTGAAGACTTACAGAAAACGTTTGCCCTTGTCATTGTCAACAAAGGGTATATAACAAAGTATTGAGAAACTTTTGTTATTGCCCAAAATACTTATTTTCCACCTTTAATATGCAAATAAATTCATAAAAATCCTACAATGTGATTTTCTGGATTTTTTTCCCTGATTTTGTCTGTCATATTTGACGTTTTACCTAGATGAAAATTACAGGCCTCTCTCATCTTTTTAAGTGGGAGAACTGCACAATTGGTGGCTGACTAAATACTTTTTTCCCCCACTGTATGTAAACTTCCGACTTCACTGTTATATACAGTACCAGTCAAAACTTTGGACACACCTACTCATTCAAGGGTTTTTCTTTATTTTTACTATTTTCTACATTGTAGAATAATAGTGAAGACATCAAAACTATGAAATAACACATATGGAATAATGTAGTAACCAAAAAAGTGTTGAACAAATCCAAATATATTTGATATTTGATATTCTTCAGATAGCCACCCTTTGCCTTTATGACAGCTTTGCACACTCTTGGCATTCTCTCAACCAGCTTCATGAGGTAGTCACCTGGAATGCATTTCAATTAACAGGTGTGCCTTCTTTAAAAGTTAATTTGTGGAATTTCTTTCCTTCTTAATGCGTTTGAGCCAATCAGTTGTGTTGTGACAAGGTATGGGTGGTATACAGAAGATAGCCCTATTTGGTAAAAGACCAAGTCCATATTATGGCAAGAACAGCTCAAATAAGCAAAGAGAAACGACAGTCCATCATTACTTTAAGACATGAAGGTCAGTCAATACGGAAACTTTCAAGAGCTTTGGAAGTTTCTTCAAGTGCACTTGCAAAAACCATCAAGCGCTATTATGAAACTGGCTCTCATGAGGACCACCACAGGAAAGGAAGACCCAGAGTTACCTCTGCTGCAGAGGATAAGTTCATTAGAGTTAACTGCACCTCAGATTGCAGCCCAAATAAATGCTTCACAGAGTTCAAGTAACAGACACATCTCAACATCAACTGTTCAGAGGAGACTGCGTGAATCAGGCCTTCATGGTCGAATTGCTGCAAAGAAACCACTACTAAAGGACACCAATGAGAATAAAAGACTTGCTTGGGCCAAGAAACACGAGACCGGTGGAAATCTGTCTTTTGGTCTGATGAGTCAAAATTTGAGATTTTTGGTTACAACCGCTGTGTCTTTGTGAGACGCAGAGTAGGTGAACGGATGATCTCTGCATGTGTGGTCCCACCATGAAGCACGGAGGAGGAGGTGTGATGGTGTGGGGGTGCTTTGCTGGTGACACTGTCAGTGATTTATTTAGAATTCAAGGCACACTTAACCAGCATGGTTACCACAGCATTCTGCAGCGATACGCCATCCCATCTGGTTTGCGCTTAGTGGGACTATAATTTGTTTTTCAACAGGACAATGACCCAACTCACCTCCAGGCTGTGTAAGGGCTATTTTACCAAAAAGGAAAGTGATAGAGTGCTGCATCAGATGACCTGGCCTCCACAATCACCCGACCTCAACCCAATTGAGATGGTTTGGGATCAGTTGGACCGCAGAGTGAAGGAAAAGCAGCCAAGAAGTGCTCAGCATATGTGGGAACTCCTTCAAGACTGTTGGAAAAGCATTCCAGGTGACTACCTCATGAAGCTGGTTGAGAGAATGCAACACTGTCATCACGGCAAAGGGTGGCTACATTGAAGAATCTAAAATCTAAAACATATTTTGATTTGTTTGACTTTTTTTGTTACTACATGATTTCTTATGTGATATTTCGTAGTTTTAATGTCTTCACTATTATTCTACAATGTATTTTTTAATTTTATAAATAAAAACCCTTAAATGAGTAGGTGTGTCCAAACTTTTGGTTTTTGACTGGTAGTACATACAGTGAGGGAAAAAAGTATTTGATCCCCAGCCTATTTTGTATGTTTGCCCACTGACAAAGAAATGATCAGTCTATAATTTTAATGGTAGGTTTATTTGAACAGTGAGAGACAGAATAACAACAAATAAATCCAGAAAAACGCATGTCAAAAATGTTATAAATTGATTTTCATTTTAATGAGGGAAATAAGTATTTGACCCCCTCTCAATCAGAAAGATTTCTGGGTCCCAGGTGTCTTTTATACAGGTAACAAGCTGAGATTAGGAGCACACTCTTAAAGGGAGTGCTCCTAATCTCAGCTTGTTACCTGTATAAAAGACACCTGTCCACAGAAGCAATCACTCAATCAGATTCCAAACTCTCCACCATGGCCAAGACCAAAGAGCTCTCCAAGAATGTCAGGGACAAGATTGTAGACCTACACAAGGCTGGAATGGGCTACAAGACCATCGCCAAGCAGCTTGGTGAGAAGGTGACAACAGTTGGTGCGATTATTCGCAAATGGAAGAAACACAAAATAACTGTCAATCTCCCTCGGCCTGGGGCCCCATGCAAGATCTCACCTCGTGGAGTTGCAATGATCATGAGAACGGTGAGGAATCAGCCCAGAACTACACGGGAGGATCTTGTCAATGATCTCAAGGCAGCTGGGACCATAGTCACCAAGAAAACAATTGGTAACACACTACGCTGTGAAGGACTGAAATCCTGCAGCGCCCGCAAGATCCCCCTGCTCAAGAAAGCACATATACAGGGCCGTCTGAAGTTCGCCAATGAACATCTGAATGATTCAGAGGAGAACTGGGTAAAAGTGTTGTGGTCAGATGAGACCAAAATCGAGCTCTTTGGCATCAACTCAACTCGCCGTGTTTGGAGGAGGAGGAATGCTGCCTATGACCCCAAGAACACCATCCCCACCGTCAAACATGGAGGTGGAAACATTATGCTTTGGGGGTGTTTTTCTGCTAAGGGGACAGGACAACTTCACCGCATCAAAGGGACGATGAACGGGGCTATGTATCATCAAATCTTGGGTGAGAACCTCCTTCCCTCAGCCAGGGCATTGAAAATGGGTCGTGGATGGGTATTCCAGCATGACAATGACCCAAAACACACGGCCAAGGCAACAAAGGAGTGGCTCAAGAAGAAGCCCATTAAGGTCCTGGAGTGGCCTAGCCAGTCTCCAGACCTTAATCCCATAGAAAATCTGTGGAGGGAGCTGAAGGTTCGAGTTGCCAAACGTCAGCCTCGAAACCTTAATGACTTGGAGAAGATCTGCGAAGAGGAGTGGAACAAAATCCCTCCTGAGATGTCTGCAAACCTGGTGGCCAACTACAAGAAACGTCTGACCCTGTGATTATCAACAAGAGTTTTGCCACCAAGTACTAAGTCATGTTTTGCAGAGGGGTCAAATACTTATTTCCCTCATTAAAATGCAATTCAATTTATAACATTTTTGACATGCGTTTTCTGGATTTTTTTGTTGTTATTCTGTCTCTCACTGTTCAAATAAACCTACCATTAAAATTATAGACTGATCATTACTTTGTCAGTGGGCACACATACAAAATCAGCAGGGGATTAAATACTTTTTTCCCTCACTGTATACACACACACACACACACACGAATGAACACAACTTTGAGTTTGCACTTTTGGTGACTATTCCATTGCGCCAGGCAGTCAAGCTTACCTCAACCATTTCAAGGAATATAACATATGTATTTGACCCAGGTCTGGAGATTTCTCTGCCAACGTTAAACTGCTGGCTAATACTGGTTTTGACTGAAAAACACAGGGGTTATTGAATTGAATAGCCTTTCTGTCTTCTATGAAAGATATTGTTTTGTTTGTCATCCTTCAATGTAAGACTCTTTGGGAGGCTACCAGTGTTCTCCTCACAAAGAAGTGGACAACTTCGTTCTTTCTGTGGTGAAAAAGGATGGCATCCAAGGAAGTAAGTTTTCAGCAGCTACTAGATAAATACTGTATATGCATCCTTTTAGATGCACTGCATGTAATAAAACAATCTATGACTGCTGCTGCATGACAAAGATCTGTACTATATCAAATTAACCAAGTTGAAGTGTTGAAATAGTGGGGGAAAAAAGTATTTAGTCAGCCACCAATTGTGCAAGTTCTCCCACTTAAAAAGATGAGAGGCCTGTAATTTTCATCATAGGTACACGTCAACTATGACAGACAAATTGAGGAAAAAAATTCCAGGAAATCACATTGTAGGATTTTTAATGAATTTATTTGCAAATTATGGTGGAAAATAAGTATTTGGTCACCTACAAACAAGCAAGATTTCTGGCTCTCACAGACCTGTAACTTCTTCTTTAAGAGGCTCCTCTGTCCTCCACTCGTTACCTGTATTAATGGCACCTGTTTGAACTTGTTATCAGTATAAAAGACACCTGTCCACAACCTCAAACAGTCACACTCCAAACTCCACTATGGCCAAGACCAAAGAGCTGTCAAAGGACACCAGAAACAAAATTGTAGACCTGCACCAGGCTGGGAAGACTGAATCTGCAATAGGTAAGCAGCTTGGTTTGAAGAAATCAACTGTGGGAGCAATTATTAGGAAATGGAAGACATACAAGACCACTGATAATCTCCCTCGATCTGGGGCTCCACGCAAGATCTCACCCCGTGGGGTCAAAATGATCACAAGAACGGTGAGCAAAAATCCCAGAACCACACGGGGGGACCTAGTGAATGACCTGCAGAGAGCTGGGACCAAAGTAACAAAGCCTACCATCAGTAACACACTACGCCGCCAGGGACTCAAATCCTGCAGTGCCAGACGTGTCCCCCTGCTTAAGCCAGTACATGTCCAGGCCCGTCTGAAGTTTGCTAGAGTGCATTTGGATGATCCAGAAGATGATTGGGAGAATGTCATATGGTCAGATGAAACCAAAATAGAACTTTTTGGTAAAAACTCAACTCGTCGTGTTTGGAGGACAAAGAATGCTGAGTTGCATCCAAAGAACACCATACCTACTGTGAAGCATGGGGGTGGAGACATCATGCTTTGGGGCTGTTTTTCTGCAAAGGGACCAGGACGACTGATCCGTGTAAAGGAAAGAATGAATGGGGCCATGTATCGTGAGATTTTGAGTGAAAACCTCCTTCCATCAGCAAGGGCATTGAAGATGAAACGTGGCTGGGTCTTTCAGCATGACAATGATCCCAAACACACCGCCCGGGCAACGAAGGAGTGGCTTCGTAAGAAGCATTTCAAGGTCCTGGAGTGGCCTAGCCAGTCTCCAGATCTCAACCCCATAGAAAATCTTTGGAGGGAGTTGAACGTCCGTGTTGCCCAGCGACAGCCTCAAAACATCACTGCTCTAGAGGAGATCTGCATGGAGGAATGGGCCAAAATACCAGCAACAGTGTGTGAAAACCTTGTGAAGACCTACAGAAAACGTTTGACCTGTGTCATTGCCAACAAAGGGTATATAACAAAGTATTGAGAAACTTTTGTTATTGACCAAATACTTATTTTCCACCATAATTTGCCAATAAATTCATTAAAAATCCTACAATGTGATTTTCTGGATTTTTTTCCCTCATTTTGTCTGTCATAGTTGACGTGTACCTATGATGAAAATTACAGGCCTCTCTCATCTTTTTAAGTGGGAGAACTTGCACAATTGGTGGCTGACTAAATACTTTTTTCCCCCACTGTATTAAAGTTTCCAATATTTTCCCCAACAGGCATACGACGGTGGAACTACTTTGTATCAGAGCAGTTACTTGTCTATGACATCCTGAAGTACCGCTGGTGTCAGAATGTGGACCGGTTCCACAAAAGCAACAACATCATGTGAGTGTCTAGTTTGGAACTGAGGGAATCTATCGGTCTCAGTAGTCCAAAGTGTCATCTTTCCTTCCTCTCCTTACGGTATTATGCATTGATCTAAAAGGACTGGACGGGTGAAAGCAAATGGCCCTATAGGTGGCCACCGTGTTATTTCCACCTATCCTGTTCTTTCAGATCAGTGCAGTTGAAGGAGAGGAAGCCATTTCAAATCCATCCTGATAAAGCCCTTTGTGAGTGAATCCAGAGAGGAAGAGGTGAAGTGAGATATCTGTCCGCACGAAAATATAGCGTTAAGCAGTAGAAGTGGGGATTTTTTGTATAGAGGTCAATGGAAGAGTGTTGAGTTTGGTCAACATAAAATTGAATTGCTAATTTGCTACTTGAGGCTTATTTGATCGAATAGAAGTTTTGTAATGTTTAGGTTGTTACAAATGTACTGATATACAGTGCATTCGGAAAGTATTCAGATCCCTTCCCTTCTTCCACATTGTTACATTACAGCCTTATTTGAAAATGGATTAAATAATTTTTTTCCCTCATACACACAATACCCCATAGTGACAAAGCTAAAACAGGTTTTTAGACATTTTAGCAAATGTATTACAAATTAAAAACAGAAATACCTTATTTACATAAGTATTCAGACCCTTTGCTATGAGACTCAAAATTGAGCTCAGGTGCATCCTGTTTCCATTGATCATCCTTGAGATGTTTCTACAACTTGAGTGGAGTCCACCTGTGGTATATTCAATTGATTCGACATGATTTGGAAAGGCACACACCTGTCTATATAAGGTCCCACAGTTGACAGTGCATGTCAGAGCAAAAACCAAGCCATGAGGTCGAAGGAATTGTCCGTAGTGCTCCGAGACAGGATTGTGTTGAGGCACAGATCTGGGGAAGGTACCAAACAATTTCTGCAGCATTGAAGGTCCCCAAGAACACAGTTGCCTAATTCATTCTTAAATGGAAGAAGTTTGGAACCACCAAGACTCTTCCTAGAGCAATCGGGGGAGAAGGGCCTTGGTCAGGGAGGTGACCAAGAACCCAATGGTCACTCTGACAGAGCTCCAGAGTTCCTCTGTGGAGATGGGAGAACCTTCCAGAAGGACAACCATCTCTGCAGCACTCCACCAATCAGGCCTTTATGGTAGAGTGGCCAGAGTGAAAGGCACATGACAGCCCGCTTGGATTTTGCCAAAAGGCACCTAAAGGACTCTCAGACCATGAGAAACAAGATTATCTGGTCTGATGAAATCAAGATTGAACTCTTTAGCCTGAATGCCAAGCGTCAAGTCTGGTGAAAACCTGGCACCATCCCTACGGTGAAGCATGGTGGTGGCAGTATCATGCTGTGGGGGTGTTTTTCAGCGGCAGGGACTGGGAGACTAGTCAGGATCGAGGGAAAGATGAACGGAGCAAAGTACAGAGAGATCCTTGATTGAAAACCTGCTCCAGAGCACTCAGGACCTCTGACTGGGGCGAAGGTTCACCTTCCAACGGGACAACGACCATAAGCACACAGCCAAGATAACGCAGGAGTGGCTTCGGGACAAGTCTCTGAAAGTCCTTGAGTGGCCAGCCAGAGCCCAGACTTGAACCCAATCTAACATCTGGAGAGACCTGAAAATAGCTGTGCAGCGACGCTCCCCTTCCAACCTGACAGAGCTTGAGAGGATTTGCAGAGAAGAATGGGAGAAACTCCCCAAATACAGGTGTGCCAAGCTTGTAGCGTCATACCCAAGAAGACTCAAGGCTGTAATCGCTGCCAAAGGTGTTTCAACAAAGTACTGAGTAAAGGGTTTGAATTCTTATGTAAATATGGTATTTCAATTTGTTATTTTTAATACATTTGCAAACATTTCTAAAAACCTGTTTTTGCTTTGTCATTATGGGGTATTGTGTGTAGATTGATGAGGGGAAAAAAACAATTTATCCATTTTAGAATAAGGCTGTAACAAAAGTCAAGTGGTCTGAATACTTTCTGAGTGCACTGTAAGTGGACACACATGGCATCCCGGCAACTTCGAGAAAAAATATGATATTGGAGTTGTGCCTGTTGTTCACATGCAAATCTGCCCTCTCATTGGCTAGAATTTTCCCGCCTGCCTTCCGCCTTGATACTCTTTGGTGAATCTCAAACTTTTTCCTAATTCCTCCTTTCCTTGATTCCTTAATTTCTCGACTTTCTTCTCAAAATGCATACGAGGAGAAGATCCTTGGTGCCTCCCCTAGGACCTTCTCCAATGTGTTGCGAGAAGGAGGCAAGAGAACACAAGGAATTGAGGGTAGACTTTTGAGATTAACACCCTGCTTTTGTCCCCTTGACTTTTCTGTCCCTTCTTCCCCCACAGGATTCTGGTGGATCTCAAAGAGGAGGTCTGGTACCAGAAGTGTCACGACCCTGCTTGCAAGAGCTTCAGATCTTCCAGTACGCGCTGGTTAACATTGAAATAGTATTGAAGTAAAAATAGTATTGACTTTGATTAAATAGAATAGATCTAATAGTATTGACACAAGTCGTCTTATAACCACAATCGAGAGCCTGTGTTTTAGGTGATTGGTGTACCAGTATGTCATTCATTGAAATGACTTTGGAACAGCAGGAAATCTTACAGATTGTGCCTTTAAACCAATAATTTCCCCCTTCCAGGTTACCCATTACCACAGGACATCTGCGTTAGCTACCTCATAACAATGGTGAGTTCTGCACCTGTTCCCCTCACTGCTACAAAAGTCTGATTCGCCTCAGTCACACTTGTTGCCATTTTATTAGAAAATTACATCACCGCAAGAACCAAAAGGAGACTCTGTTGGGTACCTGACTTCCTCTCGCTACATGAATGGGTATCTCAAGAAAGAATCCCCCAATAACAAAATCAATGTCAAAGCTAATAAGCTGTGTGTTTGTCTATTTGGCGGCAGGATGAGGAGGACCAGGCGTATCTGATGGACGACGTGGGGAACATCGAGCTCAGCCAGACACCCCCAGCTGAGAAGTACCAGGGGGGCTCGGCAGCAACACTTCCCCAGGGAGAAGGCCGCGATCCCTGGGGAGATGAGCCAGACGACCAGGCCTACCTGGAGGCCCTGGAGGATGTCGAGAGAAGCACAGGCGATTTGGCAGAGGATGATGTCCCAGATGAGCTTCTGCTCCAAACCATGACTGAGTTTGAGTCCCTCAAAGATTTGTGCTTGTCGGGCCACTAAGTGTTATTGGCGCATTTTTCTTCAATTCTGTTCATGGAGACACAGGGTGAGCAGGCTTTTGCTCCAGCTCAGACGGAACCCACCCCATTGAACTATTCAAGGGCTTGATGCTTAGTTGAATTAGGTTTGGTGAGGTGCTGGGCTGGAACAAAAGCCTGCCAGCCTGTGTCTCCAGGAGCAGAATGGAAGAAGACTGCATTAGAGGGAGGTTATACTTGTCCAACAATTAATTTCTCATTTGTAATACAGTAATTCAGTACAATCCTCAATTTCAATTACTGGCTGTTAATGCACTTTATGAACAGAGGTTTTTCCCAATTACCTAGGCCTATTCAATGCAAGGTAGCAGGGGTCTCCCAACAGGTCGATCGCAAGCTACCAGTAGCTCGCAGCCCACTGATGAGTAGCGAGCCAAACAATTCTGAAAGTACATGCAAGTTTCATGTGTTCCACTGCAAACAGTCATAAACAAATCTCACAAGTATCAGACACCGCAAGCTCCCAGCTACTATCTAGTCAATGCAACATTGACATTATCCCACCCCAGGTAAGCCATTATTGGCTTAAAAACCCAAACCTAACACAATATCTGCCAAATTAATATCCAGCAATATTGCCAGTCTGTCTGTGTGGTGTGTTTGTCTATCACTCCGTGTGTAGCCAGATATGATAACTGTCTTGTGGGTTGACAGAAATACTTTCCCCCAAAACTTCTCAATTATCATGAGTAAGTATATCATTTGTATCTATTATTTGTTATTTGCAAACTTTGCCATGAAATGAGCAGCACAGAACCGTCGTTAGACCGACACATTAGACGGCACATTCCTCAGTCGTTAGATTCGCAATTAAAGGGCCAGATGCGCAAAAAACCCAGATATTAGTTAGTTTCCTTCCAGATTTAAGCATTGACATGGACTTTTGATGTTTCGCTATGAATAATTGTAATTTTGAGAGTGAAAACGCAAAAAATCAAAGCCATTTTTTAAAAGTAGCTCTCATGGTAGAAAAGGTTGGAGACCCCTGCGTTATAGCGTGGCGCACTATAACAGACTTGAAGGTAATTTACGGTTAAGCCGACAGGAACAGCGTTCATTATGAATGCAATCTCCACTAATTTCTGGGAATATGCCGTTAAAAAGAGCATTGTCGGCTGTGTAGTGCGCTGTACTATAAAGCACCTTGCATTGAATGCCGGCCCTACTGGTTGTTCTGATAGCATAGCTTGTTAAGATGTTTCTGATAACTGAACATTGATAAACTTCCAACTCCTTACCTGTTTTTTGGTCCTTGTTTGTTCTGGATTATTTTATGGGTGATTTTATAATTGTATTATATGACTGCAAACCATTTATCTGCAAATTGAGTCACCAAGCGTGTGTCCACAGGCGTGGAAGGAAGCTAAAGTAATTCCACTGCCTAAAAATAGTAAAGCACCCTTTGCTGGCTCTAACTGCCGCCCAATCAGTTTGCTACCTGTTCTTAGTAAATGGATGGAGAGAATTGTGTTTGACCAAATACATTTTACATGTAATAATTTAGCAGACGCTCTTATCCAGAGCGACTTACACTAGTGAGTGGATATATTTTCATTTGTACTGGTCACCCGTGGGAATCGACCCTGGTGTTGCAAGTGCCATGCTCTACCAAATGAGCCACACAATGTAATTTTTCAGAGAACAAGTTAACTACTGAATTGCAGCATGCATATAGAGTAGGGCACTCAACTTGTACTGCACTGTCTCAGATGAAAGATGATCGGATAAAATAAATGGATAATAAGATGATCGTTGGAGCTGTATTGTTAGATTTCAGTGCAGCCTTTGTTACTGATCATAAATTGTTATTGAAGAAATTCACTTGCTATGACTTTACATCACCTGCAATCATATGGTTGGAGAGTTATTTATCCAATAGAACCCAGTGTTCAATGGATGTTTCTCTAACATCAGATATGTAGTGTGGTGTCCCTCAGGGCAGTTGCCTTGGGCCGCTACGCTTCTCTATTTTTACAAATGATTTGCCACTGGTCTTACACAAAGCTAGAATTACTACGTATGTGGATGATTCCACACTTAACATTCAGCACCCAAAGCCAGTGAGCTCACTGAAATTCTAAATAAAGAGTTAGTATCAGAATAGGTGGCTAATAATAAACTGGTCTTAAATACATCAAAAACTAAAGGCATTTTATTTGGACATCAAGACATTAAGACCTAAACCTCAACTGGAGTTGTGCATAAAGGGTGTGACCACTGAGCAAGTTGAGGAAGCTTCACTCCTAGGTATAACATTGGATGGTCAAGTATCATGATCAAGTCATGTTGACAAAGTTGTGAAGATGGGGAAGGGTTATAAAAAAATATGTTCTGAGTTTTTTTTATACAAAAATCAACTGTACTAGTTGTTAAGGCTCTGGTCTTGTCCCACCTTGTCCGTCTGGTAATATGGTCAAGTGCGGCAAAGAAAGACATAGCAAAGCTGCAGCTGGCTCAAAACAGAGCAGCACATACAGAACTAACAACATGCATGCCAGTCTATCCTGGTTGAGGGTTGATGAGAGATGAACTGCTTCTCTTCTAGTTTATGAGAAATATTACTGTGATGAAAATTCCAGATTGTCTGCATAATCAAATAACATTCAGCTCAGACACCTATACATATCCCACAAGACATGCCACCAGGGGTCTCTTCACAGTCCAAGTCCAAAATGAAGTCACGGCAACACACAGTATTATACAGATCACATGGAACTCCCAACTCCAATTACTCAAGCAAAACTACCTTCAGGAAACAGATTAAACTCATGGAACGGCGGGGACACACAAACACATTTTTTAGTTCGATTGTTTGTATATTGTATTTTTAATAAGTGTGACTGTCCTTGTCTATCAGTGTTTTGTTACTTGTCATGTTTTGTGTTTTCTGTGGACCCCAGGAAGAGTAGCAGATGCTTCTGCAAAAGCTAATGGGAATGTAAATAAACAAATAAAACCATGCATTTTATGAATAAAATCAACGGTTTCATCATATTGTGTACATCACAAAGAATGTCCGTATACAACAACAAAAATTGCAATGAAGCAGAGAGAGCTGGGACAAACAAGTGTTTATTTGGTACAGTTGAGTAAATGAAAGGTATGAATTTTACTCCTGTACAAAACACATCGAAACCGAACACTGCTATGTCGATTTAAGGAGAGCTCAAGTTCCTAGTATTGGCCATCTGTGACGGTGTCTTGAAACATGTGATCAAGCAGATAAACCTAATCATGTACAGAACAATGTTAACAAACAGGTCAAAGTGCATCATGAGCGCTTAATTCATTGTTAAATAACCTGAATTCACAAAGGACCCTTTTTTTCTTTGTTAGATCTCAAAGGAGACTGAAATGTCTATAATGTGGTTCCTTATATAGAGGTAAATGATGGTTAGGCCTAACACAAAGTCGTCACTATTTTTGTCCAAAAAAAGCAAACTTGCAAGGGGCCAGCGAGCCATGGCTTGGTACTAGCTTAAACCAGCTTAATCTGATCAATCTCCAGGGTATCCTTCATTAGGCATCAAATGGGAGCAAACATCTTCAAATGGATGGTGAGTGTGCATTCCAATTGGACAAAGGTCAGTTTTACCACCTCCGTTTGAAAACATTATTTAAAAGCATTGGATTTGTGTAAGCATGGGCTAGCTCGAGAGACTTTGCACCATTTCTTACACCCAATTATTCCTTTTACATCCATCAGGGGGAGTGAACGAGTGCACATTTCGGGGAGAGAATCGGAATTGGGCAGCTGGCTCCTGATTGTTGCCTTCTGAATACGACCCAGATTCCCATTGGCAGACAGGACTATGCTTTCTGTGGATAGGACAGGTCCCAGCGTGTGCTTTGAGACATTGAGACCACTGTAGTTTTAAAAAGACACTTACGGAATAAATGTTTCTGTGTGAGAGCAGAGACATTGGTGGCACTTTGCATGTGCAATACCAGAACGAAAACACACAACCTAGTCTTTTATCCCTGCTGTGTGGGAGGCTTGTTTCCTTTGCCAGGGTTTTGTGCCATTAGCAGTTCACAAAATCATAACAGAACACCTTTCTGAATGGACATCTTCCTACTTGTCTTGTGCTAAAATTGTTCTGGAAAGGTTCAGAAAGGTTTAGACTTTGACAGTACAACGTTGAAAAAATAAAGAAAACATGGCACTTCTACTGTATCAACCGTGATCCATTGATGTCCTCTCGTGACTTTTTTTTCTACAGATACACTATTAACAGTAACATTAATCGATGATATTAAATATCAACTTAAATTAAAACATTAAATAGACTGCTATAAATAGCTACTGTATTTCTGAAGTTGAACAAGGCAGTACTAATATGTTGCGTATGGGGATTTGTCTGTCTTTCAACAACTGAAATGTCTGCATGGGTGTGGTCTTACAACATAAAAAAAGCAGATACACAAACAAAAATAAGAGAATAAAACTAAACTTTGTCAGAACTTAGAGATGATTAGTAAAAATTGGTTAATTGAAAACTGACACAACTGAGGGATTACAGACCGTGAGATAGCCGAGAAAAACTCCAAACAGGCGACTTGATCGGCACTTGAAATGGCTGACAGGAATGGTTGACACAGAGCCACATGGACAGTAAGGCATGAACCCCTCCCCCTTTCACTACAGCCTAGATATACATTTTTTTAGATAAACGACCTGTGCACTGCAATTTACTTCTAAAAGTGATTGCGCTGAAATGCGCTGAGTTTACGACGAACATGATCTCTGCGAATGTCTGGGTAATCGCCTTTAAAAGTCTAATCGCAGTGCATGGGTCTACCTGCGTTTGTTCGAATCCCAGTCTAGGCCTCTAACATAACCGTCTCCCTCCCTCTCTCACGCTCCATCTTTTCTACAGCGCAAGGGGACCAAAGACACTTTTCATCACAGTAGACAAGGAAGGGCACAACCGTCCTCTCTGATGAGCATTACAGTCAAGGGGAGCTGGCTATGGCTTCCAGATGATTGTCACCCTCTGCTTCCCTTTCCCCTCTACCGGGAGTTCACATCTTGATCTTGGCATAGAGCAGGTCAATCTGCTCTCGGAAGTGACTGCGGAGTTCGGTCCTCTTGGCCTTGAGCGTGGGCGTCAGGAGGCCGTTCTGGACGGAGAACATCTCCGTGTGCAGCAAGATATCTCTCACCTGCACGGGACAGAGAGAGCGTGTTATTCCGCTTATTATGTGTTTAGCTATTATTTAACAAGCCGAGTACCATTGAGATGCAAATGTTGTTTCGTTTTTTTCTCCAAGAATACTCTGGGCTAGAGGCAGCATTATAATCATGCACAATTTGGCACCAACATCGCTTGTGAGTGTTATCTTGTCTAAATGGTGCCTAAGGAGTGTGTGGAGCGTTAGGAAGGGTTCCTCACCTGCTCAAAAGACTTCAGCCCCCCTTCTTTCCCCAGCCTCAGAATGTCCTCCAGAATGGCATTTTTCAACTCCTGGAAAGACAGGCACTTTAGACAAGGCAGTGTAGACAATACATCTTATTGGCTGTACTTAAAAGGGATAGTTCACTCAAACTATCTTTCAGTATTTTGTTCAGTAGTCTATTGTTAATACAATCCCCCTAAAAAATGTGCTTGTCAGCAGTCACATTTTCTAGATGGAGCACTTTCAGTACATAAAAAACTGTGATGATGATGAGTGTTTGAGATGAGATTGGCTCTGTTCCGATATCCACACTAGCATGCACAATACATTGCTTCATTCTAAGGCTTTACACTCCATGAGTTACTGTAGAGGCTCTGCAAGCTCCAGTGACATTTTGCTGAGGACAACACTTGTTGAAGTGTAAGAGGTATGTTAGCATGGACTGTGGAAATTAGCCACTGAATACACTGTCAGCTGATGGTAAATCTGCCATACCATTGAAGCTAGCTAACCTTGCTTGCGCACATCTCCAAATAAGAACCCTCAATGCCCTTCTTCTTTGCCCATCCTGGTAAGAAGTCCGGATCAGGCACCACAATGCCCACCAGGCATGCCTGTGCCAAACAAGACATTTTCAAACATTTAGATTTTTACATTTCATAAGCATTTATACTAATTTTAAAAATGTATCAACATTTTTCAAGCAGTGGCTTATACATGAAAGTCATTATAAGTGTAACCTAAACAAGTTTCAGTTAGATGGTGCACACATCCACAACCAACATTATGCATGTACATACCCAACCACAAACAAAGTGCTTCAATAGAAACACGCACAGCAGAAGATTTGGTTTGCACACGCGCGATTTGGTTTGTCACACACCTGCAAGCTATCGCCATGGACAAAGATCTGGGCCACTGGGTTGCTCCGGATGTAGATGTTCTCGACCTTCTCCGGGGCAATGTACTCTCCTTGAGCCAGCTTGAAGATGTGCTTCTTCCTGTCCACGATTTTCAGAATGCCATTCTGAAAGTAGAGAAAACGAACTTAACTCAGTAGTGATCAACTAAATCAGATTTTGCCCCATTACTACTTTCCCACTCTTAGTCAGTCATAGATTGAGGCCCATAGCAGGGGTGGGCCAGTGTCTGCTGATCTTCTCTTTTGCCTGGTACTTATGTCATCATCATCATCATCATCATCAGCTAAGCATGGTCGGTCCTGGGTCATCAGCTAAGCAGGGTCGGTCCTGGTCGGCCCCTGGATGGGATACCAGATGCTGCTGGAAGTGGTGATGGAGGGCTAAGGAGATCCCAATGCCCCAGGGCAGTGAAGGGGACATTGTCCTGCGTAGTGTGCCGTCTTTTGGATGGGACGATAAACGGGTATCCTGACTCTGTGGTCATTAAAAATCCCATTGCAATTATCGTAAGAGTAGGGGTGTTAGCCCCATTGTCATGGTTAAATTCCCAACCTGGCCCCATTCCATCATGGCCACCTAATCATCCCCCTTACTCCTAATTGGCATTTTAACTCACCCCTCCACCTGATGTGGGGTGAGCTTTCTGGCACAAAAATGGTCGCAGTGCATCACCCAGGTGGATGCTACACATTGGTGGTGGATGAGGTGAGTTTCCCCCTTACTATGTAAAGCGCTTTAAGTACCTCAGTTGGTAGAAAAGCGCTATATAAATCCAATCAATAATAATAATACATTATTATGATGATGATGATGATGAAGAAAATGAGAGGTATCGCGTGAAGGTGTCCAATAAGAACACAGATTTTCATTTTCTGTTGCAGAAAGTTTTACTACGGTGTGCCCTACTGAACATGACCCTGGTTTCCCAAGGTCTTAAATCAAGTACTAATTTGAAAGAACAAAACTTAGCAGTGATGGGAAATTGTCCACCAGAGGACAATTGCCCATCCCTGCCTTATAGGCTAGCTCAGGGTTTCCCAATCTTGGTCCTGGGGACCCAAAGGGTCATTTTTGTTTTTGCCCTAGCACTAACACACTTGATTCAACTAATCAAGTCATCATCAAGCCTAAAAAAGGTGGAAACCTTTGGGTGACAAGAACGAGAATTGGGAAACACAGAGCTAGCTGAATGTAGAGTTGACAGTACTTACAGGCAGCCACTTCCCAATGTCTCCCGTGTGGAGCCAGCCATCCTGATCCAAGGCCTCCTTGGTCTTCTCCGGGTCATTTAGGTAGCCCTTGAATACGTTTGGTCCTTTCACACACACCTGCGAAAAAGCAGAATTATATACACATCAAATACAAACATGGGACCAGGCTACACACCCACCTCCTCAAAGGCTAATGATTAAATAGTGAAGTAACAAAGCAAGCTGGGAAAACCCCCATCCCAGTATTCCAGTCGGTCCCAATACACGTGGTAAAGAGATCAATGGAAGGCAGACCGTGAGGGATAGAACAAGGACACAGTCATAGGCACCCATTCAAAAAAGCGTATCTAACAATGTGGATATTCGTCAAATCCGTCATGATTTATGTGTTCTAGCAGACCCATAATGTGGTTACTAAAATCTGATTTGGCTGTTTTCCCTGCATACTATTTTGAAGTTGTCCTTTAGGGTTTAGAAAATATTCTACATGACCAAAAGTATGTGGACACCTGCTCAACGAACATCTCATTCCAAATTCATGGGCATTAAACTGGAGTTGATCCCCCCTTTGCTGCTATAACAGCCTCCACTCTTCTGGGAAGGCTTTCCACTAGATGTTGGAACATTGCTGCGGGAACTTGCTTCCATTCAGCCACAAGAGCATTAGTGAGGTCAGGCACTGATGTTGGGCGATTAGGCCTGGCTACAGTCGGCCTTCCAATTCATCCCAAAGGTGTTTGATGTCAGGGCTCTGTGCATGCCAGTCCAGTTCTTCCACACCGATCTCGACAAACCATTTCTGTATGGACCTCACTTTGTGCACGGGGCATTGTCATGCCGAAACAGGAAAGGGCCTTCCCCAAACTGTTGCCACAAAGTTGGAAGCACGGAATCGTCTGGAATGTCATTGTATGCTGTAGCATTATGATTTCCCTTCACTGGAACTAAGGGGCCTAGCCCGAACCATGAAACACAGCCCCAGACCATTATTCCTCCTCCATCAAACTTTACAGTTGGCACTATGCATTGGGGCAGGTAGCGTTCTCCTGGCATCCGCCAAACCCAGATTTGTCCGTCGGACTGCCAGATGGTGAAGCGTGATTCATCACGCCAGAGAACGAGTTTCCACTGCTCCAGAGTCCAATGGCGGTGAGCTTTACACCACTCCAGCCGATGCTTGGCATTGCGCATGGTGACCTTAGGCATGTGTGTGGCTGCTCGGCCATGGAAACCCATTTCATGAAGCTCCCAATGAACAGTTCTTGTACTGACGTTGCTTCCAGAGGCATTTTGGAACTCGGTAGTGAGTGTTGCAACCGAGGACAGATGATTTTTACACGCTCAGCACTCAGCGGTCCCGTTCTGTGAGCTTGTGTGGCCTCCCACTTCGCGGCTGAGCCATTGTTGCTCCTAGACGTTTCCACTTCACAATAACAGCACTTACAGTTGACTGGGGCAGCTCTAGCGGGGCAGACATTTTACGAACTGACTTGTTGGAAAGATGTCATCCTATGACGGTGCCACGTTGAAAGTCACTGAGCTCTTCAGTAAGGCCATTCTACTGCCAATGTTTGGCTATGTAGATTGCATGGCTGTGTGCTAGATTTTATACACCTGTCAGCAATGGGTGTGACTGAAATAGCTGAATCCACTAATTTGAAAGGGTGTCCACATACTTTTGTATATATATAGTGTGTGTCTGCTAAATTTTAACTCCTGTTCAGATAAGCTGGTAGAATAGCTAGCCATATAGAAATCGATGGTGGTATTTTAAGTCGTTTTTAAGTGTAATGCAGTTGATTGGTGACGACGACATGAACATGTATTGAAGTTGACAGGCTCATGGGCGGCAATGAGGAGCTTCTGGATCTATCTCCACTACGGGGGACCCATGTGTGGAGTTTCCATGGTGTTGCCATTGTTTTGGTCGAACTCCATTGATCTCTTTACCGCATGTATTAAAACCCTACTACCACTGCACTTGGCCCTTATCCTTCAATGTTTACAGATCAGTAAGGTGGAAGCTTTACCACTATAGTGCTTATACCTATCCAGACCCTTCAGATATGCTAACATCGATTGGTTAGGGCCAAGGGGGAGGGATATGGAGCAATTTGAGACCGGCTGTTCCAATCAAAGGCACACAAGAAACCAAGGTGGGACTTCCAATGAACTCTACACCTCACCTCTCCCTCCCCATTGGCAGCAAAGTAGTTCATCTCAGTCACGTCCACCAGCTTTACATAGTTGCAGGGCAGTGGAGCTCCCACATGACCTGGGCAGAAAGAGATGCATTGTCACATTTCAGTAACACTTTATTTGGCTGTTCTTTCATAATGCCAACATGGTTGACAAAGGTTTCATGAAGGTTCCAGTGAGCCACACAAGACACAGAAGTAAAACTGTTCTTGTTCATTGTAGAATCCGAGTGTAGAGAGGGTGTAGAGCCATTTGTGTGACTTGTTTGTTGGATTAAGCATGTAGTGGTATGTGTTGTGTGATGTGGTAGCAATTGAATGCATCGGTAATGCTTGAATGTGTGTTTTACCTGCTGTCCAGTCCCCAGGCATGGACATGGTACACCCGGCTGTGCACTCAGTCTGACCATAGCCTTCGTAAAACTATCAAGTAGAAGCAGCAGACATTTATTTGAAAGCATTGTAATGAAGTAACTTGTGTTTCTCATCCATATTTCAGCACCACAGCAGCCTGGTTGGGTGTGAGGTTGATTCCCAAGCATGAAGTGATTGTTTTGACTAATAGAAAGAGAACATTATTGCCAATCTTTCTAAAGCGAATCCTGTTGAACAACAGAAAAGGTCACAAAGAGGGAGCTACTTCTCTAGGGTATGAGACAGGCTACATTCCGATTCTCTACCTTTCTCCTGAAGTGTGCACCTGTAAACTCCCCCTGAAGGATTTAAAAGGAATGGACTGGTGTGATGAATATGGGGGAAACTCCTTCCAGCCATGCTTGCACCAATCCAATGCTTTTAAATGCATGAGGGGGAGTGAACGAGTGCACACTTCTTTAGAAGGTTAGAGAATTGGAACGCAGCCAGGCTCTGCATCCAAATTCTCTGGGAAAGGGGGCATTTGTGCACTCTTCCCCACGCATTTATAAGCATTGGATTGGTGGAAGCATGGATTAGAGGGAGTTTTCATCCTTTCTTACACCTGTCATTTAATTTGTAAATCCATGAAGGGAAGTCTCACCTGGCAGCCAAGAGCGGCCCGAAGGAAGGTCAGGATGGTTGGAGACACTGGGGCCGCTCCTGTGATCATCAGCCTCACACGACCCCCAAGACTGTTCTGGAGAGCACAAAGGAGGAAAGATGTTATTGACATCCATGGTTGTACCTCACACAATAGACCAGCGATACTCAAATTGTGGGAGGTTTTGAATGTGTCACAGGTATCTGAGGAATTTAATTCTTTTTATATATATTATTTTGGGGGGAATTAATGAAAAACATACTCCAATCTGAATTTAAACGACTTAAACCAGGTAGAAAATGTGTAGAAATTATAATTAATTTAAAAAAACGACAAAATTCAATCTTTGAAATTTTTTTCAATAAGTATTTTTAATATAGAGCTATAACATTTACATTTTAGTCATTTAGCAGACACTTTTCCAGAGCGACTTACAGTTAGTGAGTGCATACATTATTTTTTAATTTTTCATACTGGCCCCCCGTGGGAATCGAACCCACAACCCTGGCATTGCAAACTGAGCTACATCCCTGCCGGCTATTCCCTCCCCTACCCTGGACGACGCTGGGCCAATTGTGCGCCGCCCCATGGGTCTCCCGGTCGCGGCCGGCTACGACTGGATTTTAGCAGCGTCATTTTTGGTTTATTTTGTGGTCTCAAACCAGTGAGTTCATTAACCTTCTTCATCAAAAACAGTGGCGACCCGTTTTGAGCCCCACCAGTTTCAGATAAAATTACATCAAATCACTTTATATCTACCATAGCTTTGATTGGACAGATCATGTCAACATAAAAGTTTCAAAATCTTAGCTAGCAGTCATCATGAATCAAGTCGACAATCTACTGGCAAATCCATTTAAATCCTTGTCATATGAAGAGAAATTATGAAGAGAAATTATAGATAAAATGTATCGGTGCTCATCGGCCATTGGATATAAACATTACACAACAAGTTGGAAATCGCAAATTCAACAATGAGTGGTTTGGAAGGAATCAGTGGCAAACTGCAAGCATTGCAAAGCAATCACTAGCCTGCTATTCAGTGGAGTGGGTGGTCCAAGTCTGGGTTTAAGGGTCTCTTCCAAGCTTAAAAGGATAAACATTCAACATTGGCCATGCTGTCAATCCAGTATGACTTCTGCCGCATTCAAAACAACTGGAAACTCGGAAATCTCAGACATCAGTGAGTTCAAGACAACTGGGAACTCGGGAAAAAACGAGCTCCGACTGGGAAAATAAGTTTTGAACGGTCATCCAACTCGGAATTCCAAGTCGGGAACTCGGGCCTCTTTCTAGAGCTCCGACCTGAAGATCACCGACGTCATGATTCAACGTTGTTTCCCCCCCCCCCGAGTTCCCAGTTGTCTTGAAAGCACTTTAAATCCAGAGAATGCCAGACTTTGATCACAAAATTTGCCCACGAAGAACTGCCGTGCCACCTTCTTGTTCAAGTGAACAAAGAGAGTCCAAAAATGGCTTGTATGCTGCTGCATAAATTATGTAATATGCCAGGGAAATAGTATGACTTTCTTAGCTACAGTATCCATAAGTGTATGTTGTGTAGTAAGCTGTTAGTAGCCCATGTCCCTCACCCTAATAATTTGGTCCCTTTTCCCCCTCATAATTTAGCCTACTGTTCTGACTTGGTGGTGCACATATAGCCTGTTTTAGAGAAATGTAATCATCGAATATTGTAAGCGCTGTCATTGTCTGCTTATATGCCCCCTTATTTATCCTACGGTTCTGACTTGGTGTACAGGGAGAACACTGTAAGAACGGCCCATGTTCTGAATTCTGTTGCTGTACATTTCAAAAGTACTGAACAAATAGTTATATTGACTACGTCCGTCCTAGCTCGCTCATTAATGTCTTAATTGAAATTACGGATTGCCTCTTATCTGCTCGTCGTCCCCTTATGCCATAGTTTGTACATCTCAATTGTCAGTAGAAACCACATTTGTTTAAGCAAGTCAGCCATGTTTTTTTTAAAGGCAGTAAATGAGGATGAATTAACTGTTTCGCTGCCAGACAAGGCTCCGCTAATAGCCAGGTGTAGCAGTGGTAAGGTTTTGGGACTGCTGTTGGGACTCTGCTGTTGGGACAGCTTTATGTAGGCCCTAACAGTTTGTGGGCACCGCTTGTTACCGTTATAGTGGAATTAATGTATTGTTTAGTGCTGTGTTGTGTAGTGGCTTTGCTGGCATGCATTTAAAAGAAATTGGGGTGAGTTTGCCCCACCAAGATGTACATGCTAAAATCACCACTGATCAAGAATATGGGAAAAATGTAATTACTGACAATGAAAGTGGTGGGAATGTTGTTCCCATGTCATGTAATTTCTACATTTAATATCAATATAGCATTTAAAACAGACTGAAAAAAATATAAAACGCAACATGTAAAGTGTTGTGTTTCATAAGCTGAGATAAAAGATCCCAGAAATGTTCCATACACAGAAAAAGCTTATTTCTCTCCAATTGTGTGCACAAATTTGTTTACATCCCTGTTAGTGAGCATTTCTCCTTTGCCAAGATAATCCATCCACCTGACAGCTGTGGTATATCAAGATGTTGATTAAACAGCATAATCATTACACAGGTGCACCTTCTGCTGAGGACAATAAAAGGCCACTAAAATGTGCAGTTTTGAGGGAGCGTGCAATTGGCATGCTGACTGCAGGAATGTCCACCAGAGCTGTTGCCAGAGAATTGAATGTTCATTTCTCTACCATAAGAATCTTATCTGAATCATTTGACTCTCTATGTCCCCTATCCTCCCGGCCGGCTCGGTCCTCCCCTCCTGCTCCGTGGCTTGACGATTCATTGCGAGCTCACAGAACAGGGCTCCGGGCAGCCGAGCGGAAATGGAGGAAAACTAGACTCCCTGCGGACCTGTCATCTTTCCACTCCCTCCTCTCTACATTCTCTTCCTCCGTTCCTGCTGCTAAAGCCACTTTCTACCCCTCTAAATTTCAAGCCTCTGCCTCTAACCCTAGGAAGCTCTTTGCCACATTCTCCTCCCTGCTGAATCCTCCTCCCTCTCTGTGGATGACTTCATCAACCATTTTGAAAAGAAGGTTGATGACATCCGATCCTCATCCTCAGACCTTCTCCCTTACCTCACCTCGCTCATCAACTCATCCTTTTCCGCTGGCTATGTCCCTTCCATCTTCAAGAAAGCGAGAGTTGCACCCCTCCTCAAAAAACCTACACTCGATCCCTCTGATGTCAACAACTACAGACCAGTATCCCTTCTTTCTTTTCTCTCCAAAACTCTTGAGCGTGCCGTCTATAGCCAACTCTCCTGCTATCTCTCTCAGAATGACCTTCTTGATCCAAACCAGTCAGGTTTCAAGACTGGTCATTCAACTGCGCTTCTCTGTGTCACGGAGGCTCTCCGCACTGCTAAAGCTCTCTCCTCTGCTCTCATCCTTCTAGACCTATCTGCTGCCTTTGATTCTGTGAACCATCAGATCCTCCTCTCCACCCTCTCCAAGTTGGGCATCTCCGGCGCGGCTCACTCTTGGATTGCGTCCTACCTGACAGGTCTCTCCTACCAGGTGGCGTGGCTCTCACCACTGGTGTCCCCCAGGGCTCAGTTCTAGGCCCTCTCCTATTCTCTCTATACACCAAGTCTCTTGGCTCCGTCATATCCTCACATGGTCTCTCCTATCATTGCTACACAGACGACACACAATTAATCTTCTCCTTTCCCCCTTCTGATAACCAGGTGGCGAATCGCATCTCTGTATGTCTGGCAGACATATCAGTGTGGATGTCAGATCACCACCTCAAGCTGAACCTCGGCAAGACGGAGATGCTCTTCCTCCTGGGGAAGGACTGCCCGCTCCATGATCTCGCCATCACGGTTGACAACTCCATTGTGTCCTCCTCCGAGAGTGCAAAGAACCTTGGCGTGACCCTGGACAACACCCTGTCGTTCTCCACTAACATCAAAGCGGTGACCCGATCCTGCAGGTTCATGCTCTACAACATTCGCAGAGTACGACCCTGCCTTACACAGAAAGCGGCACAGGTCCTAATCCAGGCACTTGTCATCTCCCGTCTGGATTACTGCAACTCGCTGTTGGCTGGGCTCCCTGCCTGTGCCATTAAACCCCTACAACTTATCTAGAACGCTGCAGCCTGTCTGGTGTTCAACCTTCCCAAGTTCTCTCATGTCACCCCGCTCCTCAGCACACTCCACTGGCTTCCAGTTGAGGCTCGCATCTACTACAAGACCATGGTGCTTGCCTACGGAGCTGTGAGGGGAATGGCACCTCCTTACCTTCAGGCTCTGATCAGTCCCTACACCCAAACGAGGGCATTGCGTTCTTCCACCTCTGGCCTGCTGGTCCCCCTACCTCTGCGGAAGCACAGTTCCCGCTCAGCCCAGTCAAAACTGTTGTCCAATGGTGGAACAAGCTCCCTCACGACGCCAGGACAGCGGAGTCACTGACCACCTTCCGGAGACACTTGAAACCCTACCTCTAAGGAATACCTGGGATAGTATAAAAGTAATCCTTCTTTTCCTTCTTTCCCCCCAATCAATCAAGGGTTGCATTATAACGCTTCATACAAATTTGCCATGATGGAAAACGCTAATGTGTGGCACTTTCTCAGCACCAATTGTTTTTACCATTAACCCTCGTCTTTACGATACTCACAATCCTAACTAAATGAAAAAACCCTATCCTTAATCCTCACCCAGAACCCGAAACTTAGCTCATGTAAGTTGCAACATTAAAGTCAACATTGTCCTTTCTAGCGTGAGTATTGGGTGCCTATCCATGGGTACCTGGACTTTTTGGAAGACAAGCTTGTCCCACAAGCTGTCCTTCCTGACCACACCATTCATCATCTCTGCATGCTTCCTCCTGGAGGCGAAAACCAGCAGCCACCTCTTCAGTGGCGTGTTGGCCTGTCCGAAGATCTATGAAGGAGAGACAGACAAATAAGATATTATTTTCCATCTTGCAAAGGATATTCGTATTTTGCCCTGCTCCCGACCTTGTGCCTTTGTTAAGGGCAAAACTGGAGTGGATGAGTAGCTACAATTTGTAAAGCAGCAGCCCGTTGGTTGACAGTTAAGTTTGCTCTTTTATTGCCCAGCCCAGGATTTGAACTGTCCGGCTGCTGGTCCGCCTGTCCGACCTCTGGGCTACATACCGCCCCTTCTCCAAGGAAGAGGGAGTATTCAACAACATATCAAACCCCAAAGCTATTTGAAACCTTTGTGGTCGAATTCAGTCCAACCCGCCTTTGCAATGTTTATGAAGCATCTTGGTTTACAAACCATTTGCCACACCCACCCATGCTATAAAAAAGGTTTCGATACACATGTACAACTATTCCAATACATTTTATTAGTATTTTATTAATGTCCAATTAAAATAAATCCAGCTACTGGTACTAAGTGATACAATCATATTATTGTCGAAAACATCCCTCAGGGTCTACAGTATATCTGACCTTGTCAAACATGCGGTTGAGCAGGCGGGGGACCACAGGGAAGACTGTGGGCTGCAGGGTCTTCAGGTCGTCCATCAGGAGCCGGATGTCCCCCTGAAAGTAGCCAATCCGGGCACCGTGCACCAGGATCACTCCCTGGAGAAGGGTGTTGGTGGCGGGGGAGGAGGCGGCAGATGAAAAGGAAGAGTGTTCGTTAAATGTTGAGTACATGTGTAAAATATGTTTAATATATTTTAAGTGATCTAGCTTTGAGTTTGCACTTTTGTGACTATTCCATTGGTTCCATGGTACCCGGCAAACTAAATCAAGCTAAGCGCAAGTATCTAAAAAAGGGGCAATCTGCTTCTTACATCCATTTTTGGACTTTTAAATTAATGAATGAATGATTGAGATATGGTCTCATACACATACATACATATATTGATTCTTGAAGAATATAACTTATGCCTGATGAGCTTAGTCCAACTGTCATACCCCATCAGAGCCCAAAATATAAGCTTGTTTTACTCCAATGTTTGTAAACAAAGAAAATGTAAAACACTATATAGCCACAAAACAAGGTAAAAAATTTAAAAAATGTTGATATCATGGATGGTCAATCCTTGCATCCATAGCTCGGTCTATGAATTTGAGAGAGATTACATTTCTCCAGCCCCATCCCTCAGCTTTTTACAGAACCAGGTGTCGGCAGGCCGATTTGTTATTGTTTCTACTGCTGATTGCCGCGTTAAGGTCAAATACACATATATATAGGGGTGCTGCAGCACCCCCTAAAAAAAAATCTGAATACAACAAAAAAAAGTGTTTATTTTTTTCTTACAAAAGTAGTGCACTGGGCCTTTGCTGTATCAGTCCGCTAATACAGTACTAGTAGTCTGTAGCATGGGCAAAACAACACACAAAATGTCTCTGTTTCAACAAGGGTGAAAAGAAACGAGGGGTTCTTCATTCTCCTCATTCTATCAGTTTCCGTACGTACCTCCACTACCCTCTCAAACATGTGTGCTAGAGGTAGGTAGGACATGTGAATGTCGTGGAGGTTCAGCATGCAGTGCACCTGCGGAAGACACACACACGTCAGGCATTGCATTACCTCAAAAACCCTCTCAAACATGTGGGCCAATGGTAGGAAGGAGATGAGCACATCCTTAGGGCTGAGCTTGAGTATGCTCTGAGTAGACACCGAGCGGAAAAAGATATGGAAGGGAAAAAAGGAAGAAGGAATGGATAGGAGAGGACAGACAGGAAAGTCAAAGTCAACACGAAGATTGAGGAACAAGAGCGAGAAAAAAATAACTGGCTGGATTTTAAAGGGCATTTAGCAGGGGGATGTAAGGAAGTACAAGGAAGGCTTGGAAAATAGCAGCTTTCCACAGTGTGGAATACACCAGTACATATTAACATGACACTAAGCATAATAAAAGCCCCCATTTTGTTTTACTAAGCAGAGGCAAATGTTAAGATAAAAATTGCTGTTTTTAAGACAGGGAGCTAGGTTTTCTATTGTTACCAGGTTTAATAAAATCGACTTCCTGTTATAAGAAAAACACTTCTCTGATAATGTGTTAGCATCACAAAACAGACAGAGGTTGCCGTTTAAACCAAAACACCCATGGTTAGTTTACCTCTGTTATCTTGATGAAAGCAGCACAATTGGCGATAACATTGCCATGTGTAAGCATTCCACCCTTTGGGTTTCCTGGTGAGTCAAATAAAACAAGTGACCGTTTATTAAATCTTGATGGGTAGATGTATCACGTTTCCAGTATACAATGTCACTAATTATAGAGTGACTAATTAATGTGTGTGGGAGAGTCTCCATTCATGGAAACACAACGGATTAGTACCGCTTTTCATCAACTGGATCATTCTTGTCACGAGGGTCCAAGTGTAACACACATCCTCCTGATCATGCATGTACTTGCATATACACTAGGGGTGTAACGATCCATCTACTACATCGATGTATCGATTTATATTCATATGATCCAACTACATCGATCTGTGCTCGGCGAGTTGGCCTTTTGGACAACATATATCGATCTAACATCGTTTTAAAATGTAATAAATCGATTGTATCGATACTAGGAAATAACCCATTGGATTTAAGCACGTCAGACTTTATATGCAGGGGTGCACATAACTGGTACGCAGATACGCAAGCGCGACAAAAATCAGGAATGCGTAATGCCACTTGTGTTACTACGCGCCTTTGCGTACTTGACCGATCTTCTCATCTAACCTTACACATGACATGTTGCTTGTCAACTACTGTCAGGGATGTCCAAAAAGCAACAGACATTAAGCAGCTTCTTTGGCGTTTTGCCACCTACAAAGAAACGCCAACTGGAGCCAGAGCCGAAGAAAATACTTTTTTCGGAAAAGTGGCTTGAAGCTAACGATGAGCGCACTGAAATGTGGTGCAAGATTTGCCGCTCAAATCCACATCTAGCAGACAAAACAGGTGCATTTTATAAAGGCTCAAAGAATTTCAACCATCCTTTATTTGACAAACATGAAAAGAGCAAGGAGCACACGAATGTGGCGCAAGCCATTGCTAAAAGCTAGCCGAGAATAAATGTCCAGTCGCCCACTTGCCAGACAAGCTGAATGAAGAACAGCGGCAAGCTCTGTTTAATATTTTTCTCTTTCCATAAAGCTAAACACGCACGTCCCATGTCTTCCTATTCTGAGGATGTTCCTTTACTGAATGCTTTTTGATGGATCTGAGGACATCACAAAAACTGAGCAGGAAATAGTTTACATTGTGTCTGTGTCCAGCAACGGAGAGTTTACTTTGGACTTTATTGGACTGATTGAATTGGGTGCTGACCGAACCGCACAGGCCATAACAGACGGACTTGTGAGACTTTTGGTAAGTTTCATAATACCAGATGGTCTGCATGGAGTCATGAAACACTGTTAAAAATATCAAGACTATTGCCAGCCATTAAAATGCAACTGGTTACCAGGTATTTATTTCAGTCACACTGGTTGAATTTTTGGCTAAAAGGTTACTGAATCGATTTCAAGTCACTGAATCGTTTCGGATCGTATCGTTCTAAATGAACCAATATCGTCCTTGAATCGTATCGACAACCACGAATCGTGATACAAATCGAATCGTTGTTAAAACGAATCGTTACACCCCTAATATACACAGTATGTCAGTGTGTGTTACTTCACATTGGACTATCATACTAATTGTATTAATGTATCACATTATACAGGTCAGTGTAATGGCCTATTTTTCTACAGTGATGCTTTTGCAATAAGTCTGTTCATACTACTTTGAATCCCTGACTATGAAAAGCCATCGGACCATAGAGACTTGAAGTGTTTGCATCCTCTATAGCCATTATGGTTATTTTCTGACCCTGCAGGTCCTCTATGAACATCTTGAAAAACAATCTGGCCTTAATGGTACTCTTAAATGTCTACCCGGTACAACCAGTAGAGGACTGGCCACCCCTCTGAGTCTGGTTCCTCTCTAGGTTTCTTCCTATGTTCCTGCCTTCCAAGGAGTTTTTCCTGGCCACTGTGCTTCTACCTCTGCATTGCTTACTCTATGGGGTTTTAGGATGGGTATCTGTAAAGCAATTCATGACAACTACTGATGTAAAAAGGACTTCATAAAATACATTTGATTGATTGATTGATTGATTGATTGATTAACGTGGGATATGCAAATTGTGAAATACAGAGTAATGACACAAAAGCAGAATTAATGCACACACACACACACCTGTGGTTCCACTGGTGAAGCAGATGAGTGCCAGGTCCTCCGGTGATGGGGGCTACAGCAGACCAAAAATATATTTAAGAGCGAACTAGTAGCTAGTTATTTTAACAGTACAGACATACCAGATATTCAAACAAATAACATAGTAAAATCACAGTTTCTTTGGGATTCATTAAATCACCACTGTTTGAATTAATCACAATATGGATTTGTACAGTCCTACTCACCAATGGCTGCTGGTGGTGGGTCTTGCCAACAGCCTGAGGGTGACAAAGAAATCGTAAAGAAAACATGAGACACAAAATGGCACATAATTCAGTTTAATTTTTCCCGCATTGAAACATTAGCTCACTAACATAAGAAAACATAGCTGGGATATGCATAAATCTAGAGAAAATAGATCAAAATGACCAATTCTGTGCCTCACCCTGCTCGAACATGCTGGTTTTCTCAATGAGCCTCTGGATAAGAGCCTTTGCTAAACGAGACTACTGTAAACATAGAAGTACATTACATTTTAGAGCCTACCTCCACATCCTTCAGGCTGAGGATCTCGATGCCGCTCTGCTGCCCACGGGTCACCAGCTCCTCGTCGAAGGCCTCCATGAGCACGATGGTCTTCAATGTGTGCTCCTTGCCGCTCACACAGTCCAGGATGAGCCGCGCCTTGTCCGCCAAGTCGCAGATCACCGTAGAGATGGCGGCTGAAAACATGGGATGGCACTGGATTATTTATTTGTCCTTTTTTTGGGGGGTCAACTTTTTTTAATGTTCCGTGATGGTCGTAATGGTGCGAGGTACAGTCCAGTCTTTTTTCCTGAGAAATTGAGTTACACAATAATTGAATGTTATTGTATAATGCCTACAACAGTGACATAACCATGACTTGTCATCTAATGACAGTTTATGCAGATTACATTTCCTTTACGTTTTCAATGTTATGGTAAGATTTCAGTGAATCATAATGCTTCATAACAGGTTTATATGACAAACTGTAAAGTATGTTCAAATGATAACTTCTATATCATAAACAAATCTTTAAGGGCCGCCTTGTCTGCTGGTTGATACTAGTTCATTCTACAGCTGGTGAGGAAGCCAAGACAGACACGTTAGCCAGTGATGAACGTAGCTACTGTAGCACATCATGTAGATCTGTAAGGATTCAATAGGTATATGATCTATGGTAATAGCTCCACCTTGGTTTCTGAAGTGGAACTTCTACCATATTACTTGCATCTATCCAACCCATTCAGCTCTAAATAACTGCCTCAATATAGAATCTTGAGTGCAGTACCCATGAGTCAAATTGCCATAGTCCAAGGGGTCTTTCCTGTTCTAGAAATTATATTTCTATATCAAAGTCTAGGGGTCGATTTTGGATATCAGGCCACACTAGTGTGACCTTGTACCAGATGGTGTTTGTGGTTGCCCTGTGACATACCTTGGTCGACGATGTATTCAATGGCCTCGAGGCCTAGCGTGTCATACAGTGGGACACACACCAGGGAGTACGTGTAACAGGCCAGCTCTGAAATGGTCCACTGTAGGAGAGGACATGGATAACATCAGTACAGGGGTAAAATTTGATGAAGCTTTGACGCCGTGTCCGAAATCGTTCTCGCTAAAAGTATATACAGTCGTGGTCAAATGTTTTGAGAATGACACAAGTATTGGTCTTCAAAGTTTGCTGCTTCAGTGTTTTTAGATACTTTTGTCAGATGTTACTATGGTATACTGAAGTATAATTACAAGCATTCCATAAGTGTCAAATACTTTTATTGACAATTACATTAAGTTTATGCAAAGAGTCAATATTGGCAGTGTTGACCCTTCTTTTTCAAGACCTCTGCAATCCGCCCTGGCATGCTGTCAATTAACTTCTGGGCCACATCCTGACTGATGGCATCCCATTCTTGCATAATCAATGCTTGGAGTTTGTCAGAATTGTGGGTTTTTGTTTGTCCACCCACCTCTTGAGGATTGACCACAAGTTCTCAATGGGATTAAGGTCTGGGGAGTTTCCTGGCCATGGACCCAAAATGTCAATGTTTTGTTCCCCGAGCCACTTAGTTATCATTTTTGTCTTATGGCAAGGCGCTCCATCATGCTAGAAAAGGCATTGTTCGTCACCAAACTGTTCTTGGATGGTTGGGAGAAGTTGCTCTCGGAGGATGTGTTGGTACCATTCTTTATTCATGGCTGTGTTCTTAGGCAAAATTGTGAGTGAGCCCACTCCCTTGGCTGAGAAGCAACCCCACACATGAATGGTCTCAGGATGCTTTACTGTTGGCATGTCACAGGACTGATGGTAGCGCTCACCTTGTCTTCTCCGGACAAGCTTTTTTCCGGATGGCCCAAACAATCGGAAAGGGGATTAATCAGAGAAAATGACTTTACCCCAGTCCTCAGCAGTCCAATCCCTGTACCTTTGCAGAATATCAGTCTGTCCCTGATGTTTTTCCTGGAGAGAAGTGGCTTCTTTGCTGCCCTTCTTGACACCAGGCCATCCTCCAAAAGTCTTTGCCCACTGTGCGTGCAGATGCACTCACACCTGCCTGCTGCCATTCCTGAGCAAGCTCTGCACTGGTGGTGCCCCAATCCCGCAGCTGAATCAACTTTAGGAGACGGTCCTGGCGCTTGCTGGACTTTCTTGGGCGCCCTGAAGCCTTCTTCACAACAATTGAACCTCTCTCCTTGAAGTTCTTGATGATCCGATAAAATGGTTGATTTAGGTGCAATCTTACTAGCAGCAATATCCTTGCCTGTGAAGCCCTTTTTGTGCAAAGCAATGATGACGGCAGGTGTTTCCTTGCAGGTAACCATGGTTAACAGAGGAAGAACAATGATTTCAAGCACCACCCTCCTTTTAAAGCTTCCAGTCTGTCATGCTGATTGAGTTAGAATAACAGAGTGATATCCAGCCTTGTCCTTGTCAACACTCTCACCTGTGTTAACAAGAGAATCACTGACATGATGTCAGCTGGTCCTTTTGTGGCAGGGCTGATATGCAGTGGAAATGTTTTTCGTTGTTGATTCAGTTCATTTTCATGGCAAAGAGGGACTTTTCAATTAATTTCAATTCATCTGATCACTCTTCATAACATTCTGGTGTATATGGAAATTGCCATCATAATAACTGAGGCAGCAGACTTTGTGAAAATTCATATTTGTGTCATTTTCAAAACTTTTGACCACGACTGTACTATGTACAAACCATCCCTCATACTATTTATTATCAACTGTTTAGTAAATATGTATCCAGTAAGCAACAAATCAACATACCAGGCTCATCCATACTGAGGTGTCATCTAATGCCAAGTTGGGTTGTTCCCTGCCATTTGTTAATTTTGATACAGCCCGTCACCTTATCTGACTATCAGCTGTTGTCAAACACACTACAGTTGAAGTCGGAAGTCTACATACACCTTAGTCAAATACATTTAAACTCAGTTTTTCACAATTCCTGACATTTAATCCTTTTAAAAATTCCCTGTCTTAGGTCAGTTAGGATCACCATTTTATGTTAAGAATGTGAAATGTCAGAATAATTGTCACGATCGTTGAGAGACGATCCAAGGTGCAGCGTGGTATGCGAACATGTTAATTAACTGAATACACACTGACAAAACAACAAACCAACGTAACGTGAAGTCCAAGGCTATACACAAAACCAGCCTATACACGGAACAAGATCCCACAACTAAGGATTGCAAACAGGCTACTTAAGTATGATCCCCAATCAGAGACGAGCGACAGCTGCCTCTGATTGGGAATCACACCCAGCCAAACCTAGAAATACAATTCTAGATCCTAAACATAGAAACTAAACAGAAAACTCACACCCTGACCCAACCAACAAGAGTTCTCTCGATCAAGGCGTGGCAGTAATTGTAAAGAGAATGATTTATTTCAGCTTTTATTCCTTTCATCACATTCCCAGTGGGTCAGAAGTTTACATACACTCAATTAGTATTTGGTAGCATTGCCTTTAAATTGTTTAACTTGGGTCAAACGTTTCAGGTAGCCTTCCACAAGCTTCCCACAATAAGTTGGGTGAATTTTGGCACATTCCTCCTGACAGAGCTGGTGTAACTGAGTCAGGTTTGTAGGCCTCCTTGCTCGCACATGCTTTTTCAGTTCTGCCCACAAATGTTCTATAGGATTGAGGTCAGGGCTTTGTGATGGCCACTAAAATACCTTGACTTTGTTGTCCTTAAGCCATTTTGCCACAACTTTGGAAGTATGCTTGGGGTCATTGTCCATTTGGAAGACCCACTTGCGACCAAGCTTTAACTTCCTGACTGATGTCTGAGATGTTGCTTCAATATATCCACACAATTTTCCTTCCTCATGATGCCATCTATTATGTGAAGTGCACCAGTCTCTCCTGCAGCAAAGCACCCCCACAGCATGATGCCGCCACCCCCGTGCTTCACGGTTGGGATGGTGTTCATCGGCTTGCAAGCAACCCCCTTTTTTTCCAAACATAACGATGGTCATTATGGCCAAACAGTTTCATCAGACCAGAGGACATTTCTCCAAAAAGTATAATCTTTGTCCCCATGTGCAGTTGCAAACCGTAGTCTAGCTTTTTTATGGCTGTTTTGGAGCAGTGGCTTCTTCCTTGCTGAGCGGCTTTTCAGGTTATGTCGATAAAGGACTTGTTTTACTGTGGATATAGATACTTTTGTACCTGTTTCCTCCAGCATCTTCACAATGTCCTTTGCTGTTGTTCTGGGATTGATTTGCACTTTTTGCACCAAAGTACATTTGTCTCCTTCCTGAGCGGTATGACTGCTGCGTGGTCCCATGGTGTTTATACTTCCGTACTATTGTTTGTACAGATGAACGTGGTACCTTCAGGCTTTTGTAAATTGCTCCCAAGGATGAACCAGACTTGTGGAGGTCTACAATAATTTTTCTGAGGTCTTGGCTGCTTTCTTTAGATTTTGCCATGATGTCAAGAAAAGAGGCACTGAGTTTGAAGGTAGGCCTTGAAATACATCTACAGGTACACCTCCAATTGACTCAAATTATGGCAATTAGCCTATCAGAAGCTTCTAAAGCCATGACATCATTTTCTGGAATTTTCCAAGCTGTTTAAAAAGGCAGTCAACTTAGTGTATGTAAACTTCTAACCCACTGGAGTTGTGATACAGTGAATTATTAGTGAAATAATCTGTCTGTATACTATTGTTGGAAAAATTACTTGTGTCATGCAAAGTACATGTCCTAATCGACTTGCCAAAATTATAGTTTTTTAACAAGAAATTTGTGGAGTTGTTGAAAAACGAGTTTTAATGACTCCAACCTAAGTGTATGTAAACTTCCGACTTCAACTGTAGATGAGAAGCCGAAATAAATATGACATCCTGGAATTTAAAGCATGCTACATTTGAAATATTATATACTATGAAACTTTCTATTTTCGCATTACCAAAAAGCATACTATTTAGAACGCAAGTACAGGTATTCAGACTCAGCCAGTGAATATGTAAAAGGTGATGTGTGCACAATTGAAAACAAGAGAGTGTGCAAGAAAGATGGAGGGAAAGAAGAATTGTTCCTGCTCATTCCTCTTACCTCTGACCTGTTCTGGGCAAAGATGCCGATATGCTTGTCTCCAGTCGGGGAGTGCCCTCTCTGGAGAAGAGCCGAGCCAATGCACTCAGCTTTGTCTGCCACCTTCACAAAACAAACAGCAAAGATGCTTTGCTTTTCCCATTTGAACAATCATATGAACCATACCGGTTTGAGGAAACTCATTGATATGGATTTCAAAAAAATAAACAAAACATCTATATAAAAAAATGGGCACTGGGAAAATCTCTCATTTGTTAATTGTCTATATATCCTATTCAGTTAATTGGGACATGCAGTCCCTTTGTTAATTGTTAAAATTGACTGTGACTGAAGAACTAACTAATTACCAAACTAGGCTGTAAAATGTCTAAAGTCCGTTGCCCTTAGAGAAACCAACTGGAACTACTTTTTCATCTCACAAAAAATTATAAAATAATTGGCAGTATAGCTCACCTCTCGGTATGACAGCCACTCGTAAGGCTGGTTGGGTTTTCTCGATCCTAGACAGGGCCCATCATCTGGAAAGTAAAAGGCCGTGCCTTGGTGACGACAACAAACTCACTGCGGTTCACTACATGCTTATTGATGGAAAACCATGGTCCTTATATGATATTCTTCTCACAACTTAATACAAAAGTTTAGAATTGTGTGTATTGTAAGATATTACTCCACTGTTGGTGCTCAAAACATAAGCATTTTGATGCACCTGCAATAACATGTGCAAATCTGTGTACTCGACCAATACACGTTGATTTGATTTGACAATAAACCACAAGTCAGTTACAACCAGACCAGGGTTAAAATACTATTTGAAATCATTTCAAATACGTTGTCTGTGCTTGATTGAGCTTGCCTGGTACAATGAAACCAATAGAATGCACACGTGCAAATCCTTCCATCTGGCACTCCAGGCAGACAAAAGCAAAGGCTAAAAGTATTTGAAAGACTTCAAATAGTATTTGAACCCAGTTCTGGTATCAACCATTGGTGCAACTCTGCCGACATATCTTCCAGAGAATAATTACTATATGCAAATAGAGGGTGCTGCTGAAAAGAATAGCATGATGCAGACAAACATTTTTAGTAGAACAACTTTCATGAAAAAGTTGTAAGAAAGCCTGAAACTCTACCTATAGGAATTTAGGGTATGATAACAACTGTATAATATGGCAAGTGGTGATTTCAATCAAATTAGGCATGTTATTATCAAATAGATGTGTTGTGGTTCCCTTGCCTGGTTTTTGCAATATATATATATATATATAGTAAAAATTCCCTGTCTTAGGTCAGTTAGGATCACCACTTTATTTTAAATGTCAGAATAATAGTAGAGAATGATTTATTTCATCACATTCCCAGTGGGTCAGAGGTTTACATACACTCAATTAGTATTTGGTAGCATTGCCTTTAAATTGTTTAACTTGGGTCAAACGTTTTGGGTAGCCTTCCACAAGCTTCCAACAATAAGTTGGGTGAATTTTGGCACATTCCTCCTGACAGAGCTGGTGTAACTGAGTCAGGTTTGTAGGCCTCCTTGCTCGCACATGCTTTTTCAGTTCTGCCCACAAATGATATATATGATTGAGGTCAGGGCTTTGTGATGGCCACTCCAATACCTTGACTTTGTTGTCCTTAAGCCATTTTGCCACAACTTTGGAAGTATGCTTGGGGTCATTGTCCATTTGGAAAACCCATTTGCGACCAAGCTTTAACTTCCTGACTGATGTCTTGAGATGTTGCTTCAATACATCCCATAATTTTCCTTCCTCATGATGCCATCTATTTTGTGAAGTGCACCAGTCCCTCCTGCAGCAAAGCACCCCCACAGCATGATGCTGCCACCCCTGGGGCTTCACGGTTGGGATGGTGTTCTTCAGCTTGCAAGCATCCCCTTTTTCCTCCAAACATAACGATGGCTATTATGGCCAAACAGTTATATTTTTGTTTCATCAAACCAGAGGACATTTCTCCAAAAAGTACCATCTTTGTCCCCATGTGCAGTTGCAAACTGTAGTCTGGCTTTTTTATGGCGGTTTTGGAGCAGTGGCTTCTTCCTTGCTGAGCTGCCTTTCAGGTTATGTCAATATAGAACTCGTTTTACTGTGGATATAGATACTTTTGTACCTGTTTCCTCCAGCATCTTCACAAGGTCCTTTGCTGTTGTTCTGGGATTGATTTGCACTTTTCGCACCAAAGTACGTTCATCTCTAGGAGACAGAACGCGTCTCCTTCCTGAGCGGTATGACGGCTGTGTGGTCCCATGGTGTTTATACTTCCGTACTATTGTTTGTACAGATGAACGTGGTACCTTCAGGCATTTGGAAATTGCTCCCAAGGATGAACCAGACTTGTGGAGGTCTACAATAATTTTTCTGAGGTCTTGGCTGATTTCTTTTGATTTTCCCATGATGTCAAGCAAAGATGCACTGAGTTTGAAGGTACACCTCCAATTGACTCAAATGATGTCAATTAGCCTATCGAAAACTTCTAATGTCATGAAAAAAAAAAAAAAAAAATGACATCATTTCTGGAATTTTCCAAGCTGTTTAAAAGGCACAGTCAACTTAGTGTATGTAAACTTCTAACCCACTGGAATTGTGATACAGTGAATTATAAGTGAAATAATCTGTCTGTAAACAATTGTTGGAAAAATTACTTGTGTCATGCATAAAGTAGATGTCCTAACCGACTTGCCAAAACTATAGTTTGTTAAAAAGAAATTGTGTAAATGGTTGAACACAAGTTTTAATGACCAACCTAAGTTTTGTAAACTTCCGACTTCAACTGTAGATAGATACTCAACTGTATATTATTCAAATGATCAAAATATAGATTTACTAATACAGTTGCTTACTATTAAGAGTATACTGTCTGTTGCTGCATGCTGATACAAACAAAATATACCCCCCCAAAAAACAGTGTTGTTTGTTGATTTGTTTGTGGAAGAGTACTCACTGGACACCCGCAAGCCTCGAGGAAGACCTCGTACATGGTCCGCGCGTCACTGTATAGTAAGTATGTGTTCGTCGCTGTTGTTCAGAATGGACCGCCTGACTAACTTTAGCAAAAGGGGAGATTGGAGAATGTCATATGGTCAGATGAAACCAAAATAGAACTTTTGTAAAAACTCAACTCGTCGTGTTTGGAGGACAAAGAATGCTGAGTTGCATCCAAACAACATCATACCTACTGTGAAGCATGGGGGGAAACATCATGCTTTGGGGCTGTTTTTCTGCAAAGGGACCAGGACGACTGATCCGTGTAAAGGAAAGAATGAATGGGGCCATGTATCGTGAGATTTTGAGTGAAAACCTCCTTCCATCAGCAAGGGCATTGAAGATGAAACGTGGCTGGGTCTTTCAGCATGACAATGATCCCAAACACACTGCCCGGGCAACGAAGGAGTGGCTTCGTAAGAAGCATTTCAAGGTCCTGGAGTGGCCTAGCCAGTCTCCAGATCTCAACCCCATAGAAAATCTTTGGAGGGAGTTGAAAGTCCGTGTTGCCCAGCGACAGCCCCAAAACATCACTGCTCTAGAGGAGACCTGCATGGAGGAATGGGCCAAAATACCAGCAACAGTGTTTGAAAACCTTGTGAAGACTTATAGAAAACGTTTGACCTGTGTCATAGCCAACAAAGGGTATATAACAAAGTATTGAGAAACTTTTGTTATTGACCAAATACTTATTTTCCACCATAATTTGCAAATAAATTCATTAAAAATCCTACAATGTGATTTTCTGGATTTTTTAAAATCATTTTGTCTGTCATAGTTGACGTGTACCTATGATGAAAATTACAGGCCTCTCATCTTTTTAAGTGGGAGAACATGCACAATTGTTGGCTGACTAAATACTTTTTTTCCCCACTGTATGTATATATATATATATATATATAGTTGAAGTCGGAAGTTTACATACACCTTAGCCAAATACATTTAAACTCAGCTTTTCACAATTCCTGAATTTGAATCCTAGTAAAAATTCCCTGTCTTAGGTCAGTTAGGATCATCACTTTATTTTAAATGTCAGAATAATAGTAGAGAATGATTTATTTCAGCTTTTATTTCTTTCATCACATTCCCAGTGGGTCAGAGGTTTACATACACTCAATTAGTATTTGGTAGCATTGCCTTTAAATTGTTTAACTTGGGTCAAACGTTTTGGGTAGCCTTCCACAAGCTTCCAACAATAAGTTGGGTGAATTTTGGCCCATTCCTCCTGACAGAGCTGGTGTAACTGAGTCAGGTTTGTAGGCCTCCTTGCTCGCACACGCTTTTTCAGTTCTGCCCACAAATGTTCTATAGGATTGAGGTCAGGGCTTTGTGATGGCCACTCCAATACCTTGACTTTGTTGTCCTTAAGTCATTTTGCCACAACTTTTGGAAGTATGCTTGGGGTCATTGTCCATTTGGAAAACCCATTTGCGACCAAGCTTTAACTTCCTGACTGATGTCTTGAGATGTTGCTTCAATACATCCCATAATTTTCCTTCCTCATGATGCCATCTATTTTGTGAAGTGCACCAGTCCCTCCTGCAGCAAAGCACCCCCACAGCATGATGCTGCCACCCCCGGGGCTTCACGGTTGGGATGGTGTTCTTCAGCTTGCAAGCATCCCCTTTTTCCTCCAAACATAACGATGGCTATTATGGCCAAACAGTTATATTTTTGTTTCATCAAACCAGAGGACATTTCTCCAAAAAGTACGATCTTTGTCCCCATGTGCAGTTGCAAACTGTAGTCTGGCTTTTTTATGGCGGTTTTGGAGCAGTGGCTTCTTCCTTGCTGAGCTGCCTTTCAGGTTATGTCAATATAGGACTTGTTTTACTGTGGATATAGATACTTTTGTACCTGTTTCCTCCAGCATCTTCACAAGGTCCTTTGCTGTTGTTCTGGGATTGATTTGCACTTTTCGCACCAAAGTACGTTCATCTCTAGGAGACAGAACGCGTCTCCTTCCTTAGCGGTATGACGGCTGTGTGGTCCCATGGTGTTTATACTTCCGTACTATTGTTTGTACAGATGAACGTGGTACCTTCAGGCATTTGGAAATTGCTCCCAAGGATGAACCAGACTTGTGGAGGTCTACAATTGTTTTTCTGAGGTCTTGGCTGATTTCTTTAGATTTTCCCATGATGTCAAGCAAAGATGCACTGAGTTTGAAGGTACACCTCCAATTGACTCAAATGATGTCAATTAGCCTATCAGAAACTTCTGTCATGACATCATTTTCTGGAAATTTCCAAGCTGTTTAAAAGGCACAGTCAACTTAGTGTATGTAAACTTCTAACCCACTGGAATTGTGATACAGTGAATTATAAGTGAAATAATCTGTCTGTAAACAATTGTTGGAAAAATTACTTGTGTCATGCATAAAGTGGATGTCCTAACCGACTTGCCAAAACTATAGTTTGTTAAAAAGAAATTTGTGGAGTGGTTGAAACACAAGTTTTAATGACTCCAACCTAAGTGTTTGTAAACTTCCGACTTCAACTGTAGATAGATATCTCAACTGTATATTATTCAAATGATCAAAATATAGATTTACTAATACAGTTGCTTACTATTAAGAGTATGACTTGTCTGTTGCTGCATGCCTGATACAAAACAAAATATACCCCCCCAAAAAACAGTGTTTGTTTGTTGATTTGTTTGTGGAAGAGTACTCACTGGACACCCGCAAGCCTCGGAGGAAGACCTCGTACATGGTCCGCGCGTCACTGTAGTAGTAAGTCATGTGTTCGTCGCTGTTGTTCAGAATGGACCGCCTGACGTAACCGTCACCCTGTGACGACAGTGAGGCATCGTTAAGAAGTTGGGTCTTATGAATGTTTTGAAATGCAAATTGCACATTTTTGTTTTCCGTTTTGCTACAGTGCACCCTACTGAATAGGACCCAGGTGTACAGTATGTGCCACTGAAATAACTGATCCACTTAGAGCTGGGGTGGACAGGACAGTCTTACCCTGTGAGGGCCGGTGTGTGTGCAGACTTCTGTTCTAGCCAAGCGGCATCACATCTAATTCAAGTAACCAAAGTTTTGATTGATGATTATGATTAGGTGATTAGTAGAATAGTAACTGCTTGGCTGGAACAAAGGCATGCATCCACACCGGTCCTCGCAAGGGGAAGATTTATTGGCCATCACTTAATTAGAGCAGTTTTATTCAATCCGGCTTTTGTTCCAACCCAGTATGAACACACCGGATTCAATTAACCAAGGGCTTGATCCATTGAAATGAAAGTGTTACTGCTGGGCAGGAACAAAATGCTTGCCCACTGTGTATCCCAAGGACCATGGTTTAAAAAAAAAAAAAAAAAAAAAAAAAAAGGCTAGAAATATTTTTACCAAGAATTTGAATCAGAGACTTTCAATACATTTCATTATTCCAGGCTTCTTAACTTCCTGCATTCAAACAAAGCCTTCAAGGTTATGAACTGTTCAGTAGCTGCAAAAACGTTTTTGTCCTTATGTCAGTGAAGATATAAGACCTATAACAAAGTATAGCAGGTTATAAAGAAACACATGTCTCATGTCTTAGCAAAATAGACAGTAAAGGGGTTTGTCATGCTCTCTGTGTAACCCTTGGGTTAAAATGTTGCAAGTGGTCTAGCTGCTACACTCAGGAATCACTTTTATGTAGCTTGCTGAAATGATAAGCCAAACATCCAAAGGCATTCCCCAGATCCTATTTCGGCCACAATGAGACAGTTCAGGCTGACTTGACACAGACAGATACACAGAGACAGAAACTTGATCATCGTGGTTGTGTCATATTTATAATGGTAGTTCCGTCACACACACACACACACACACATTACCTATCTTATGGATACCAAATAAGTATTCTATGGAGCAAAAGAATCAGCACAGATTTCAGGTTATTTATACTTGGCTACAGCATGGTTTAGTGCAAAAACAATGGGTATGGTAGGACCCATGTTAGCACGCTCCAAATATTATGGGTTCACGTTTATTAGTCATATGTTATACATCGTCCAATGAAACAGTAAATGATAAGAGTATGAACAGAAAGTAAATGGCATATGTATAATACAGAAAGGCACAGTTTATAGTCAAATATTTACACGTGTATTGGGGAAGAGGGGGATGAGGGCAAGTATATACAGTGAGGGAAAAAAGTATTTGATCCCCTGCTGATTTTGTACGTTTGCCCACTGACAAAGACATGATCAGTCTATAATTTTAATGGTAGGTTTATTTGAACAGTGAGAGACAGAATAACAACAAAAAAATCCAGAAAAACGCATGTCAAAAATGTTATAAATTGATTTGCATTTTAATGAGGGAAATAAGTATTTGACCCCTCTGCAAAACATGACCTAGTACTTGGTGGCAAAACCCTTGTTGGCAATCACAGAGGTCAGACGTTTCTTGTAGTTGGCCACCAGGTTTGCACACATCTCAGGAGGGATTTTGTCCCACTCCTCTTTGCAGACCTTCTCCAAGTCATTGAGGTTTCGAGGCTGACGTTTGGCAACTCGAACCTTCAGCTCCCTCCACAGATTTTCTATGGGATTAAGGTCTGGAGACTGGCTAGGCCACTCCAGGACCTTAATGTGCTTCTTCTTGAGCCACTCCTTTGTTGCCTTGGCTGTGTGTTTTGGGTCATTGTCATGCTGGAATACCCATCCACAACCCTGGCTGAGGGAAGGAGGTTCTCACCCAAGATTTGACGGTACATGGCCCCGTCCATCGTCCCTTTGATGTGGTGAAGTTGTCCTGTCCCCTTAGCAGAAAAACACCCCCAAAGCATAATGTTTCCACTTCCATGTTTGACGGTGGGAATGGTGTTCTTGGGGTCAAAGGCAGCATTCCTCCTCCTCCAAACACTGCGAGATGAGTTGATGCCAAATAGCTCCATTTTGGTCTCATCTGACCACAACACTTTCACCCAGTTCTCCTCTGAATCATTCAGATGTTCATTGGCAAACTTCAGACGGGCCTGTATATGTGCTTTCTTGAGTAGGGGGACCTTGCGGGCACTGCAGGATTTCAGTCCTTCACGGCGTAGTGTGTTACCAATTGTTTTCTTGGCGACTATGGTCCCAGCTGCCTTGAGATCATTGACAAGATCCTCCCGTGTAGTTCTGGGCTGATTCCTCACAGTTCTCATGATCATTGCAACTCCACGAGGTGAGAGCTTGCATGGAGCCCCAGGCCGAGGGAGATTGACAGTTATTTTGTGTTTCTTCTTTCTGTTGTCACCTTCTCACCAAGCTGCTGGTGATGGTCTTGTAGCCCATTCTAACCTTGTGTAGGTCTACAATCTTGTCCCTGACATCCTTGGAGAGCTCTTTGGTCTTGGCCATGGTGGAGAGTTTGGAATCTGATTGATTGATTGCTTCTGTGGACAGGTGTCTTTTAAACAGGTAACAAGCTGAGATTAGGAGCACTCCCTTTAAGAGTGTGTTCCTAATCTCAGCTTGTTACCTGTATAAAAAAAGACACCTGGGAGCCAGAAATCTTTCTGATTGAGAGGGGGTCAAATACTTATTTCCCTCATTAAAATGCAAATCAATGTATAACATTTTTGACATGCGTTTTTCTGGATTTGTTTTGTTTTTATTCTGTCTCTCACTGATCAAATAAACCTACCATTAAAATTATAGACTGATCATTTCTTTGTCAGTGGGCAAACGTACAAAATCAGCAGGGGATCAAATACTTTTTTCCCCTCACTGTAAATTGAGCAGTATAATAAGAGCCTGGTAGCAACAGTTGTGATGTGTGTAGCATGAATATGAACGGCATGAACGGAGTATACAAAACATTAAGAACACCTGCTCTTTCCATGACAGACTGACCAGGTGAAAGCTATGATCCCTTAATGATGTCACTTATTAAATCCACCTGAATCAATGTAAATTAAGGGGAGGAAACAGGTTAATGAATAATTTTAAAGCCTTGATACAACGGAGACATGGATTGTGTATGTGTGCCATTCAGAAGGTGAATGGGGAAGACAAAAGATTGAAGTGCCTTTTAACGGAGTATGGTAGTAGATGCAACTCAATATTAGGAAGATGTTCCTAATGTTTGGTGTAATATATATATGTGTGTGTACATAAGTGAGTGCATGTGTGATAAGTTGCGGATAATCAGAGCAGATGGTTAGTCCAGTTCAAGTGTTCAGCAGTCTGATGGCTTGTAGATAGAAATTGTCTCTAAGCCAGTTTGGACCAGACCTCCTGCGCCGATACAGTTTACCTGACAGTAAGGGAGAGAACAGCTCGTGGCTGGGGTGTGTGAGGTCCTTGACGCCGAGTGCCTTCCTCATGCCCAGTTTTGAGTAGATGATCTGGATGAGTGGGAGCACGGTCCCAGTGATGTACTGGGCTGTCTTCACCACCCGCTGGAGGACCTTGCGGTCGTGGAAGGGAACAATTCCCGTACCAGGCCGTGGTGCAACCTGTCACTACGTTAAATTGTGCCACGGTAGTATTTGGAGAGCACCCGGGGCGGCATGCCGAATTTCTTCAGCCGCCTTAGAAAGTAGAGACGCTGTTGCCCCCTCTTGACAAGAGTGGTGGTGTTGTTGGTCCATGACAAGTTCTCAGTGATGTGGACGCCAAGGAACTTACATTTATGACTCTACTGCAGTCCCGTTGATGTGGATCAGGGCATGTTCCCTCTGCTTCCTGAAGTCAACAATCAACTCCTTTATTTTGCTGACATTGAGGGAGAGGTTGTTGTCATGACACCACAATGCAAGCTCACTTACCTCCTCCCTATAGGTGGACTTGTCGTTTCTGGTGATCAGGCCTACAACTATGGTGTCGTCAGCAAACTTGATGATTGAGTTGGTGTCGTGCAAATCCACGCAGTCGTGGGTGAACAGGGAGTACAGCAAAGGACTGAGGACACAACCCTGGGGGGGCCCTGTTTTAAGAGTCAGTGTGAAGGAGGTGTTGTTGCCGAATCTCACAGCCTGTGGTCTGCCTGTCAGGAATTCCAGGATCTAGTTGCAGAGGGTGGTGTCCAGACCCAGGGCTCTGAGCTTGGTGTTGAGCTTGGAGGGAACAATAGTGTTGAATGCTGAACTGTAGTCAATGAACAGCATGCTCACATAGGTGTTCCTCTTGTCCAAATGTGTTATGGCCGTGTAAATACCATCTTCCGTGGATCTGTTGGAGGGTTAGGCAAATTGGAGTGGGTCCAGCGTGCCTGGCATGCTGGCCTTGATGTGGGCCATGACTAGCCTCTCGAAGCGCTTCATGATTACCGAGGTGAGCGCGACGGGCATGTCACCTTGTTTTTCTTGGGCACTGGGAAGGTGGTCTCCTTAAAGCAGGTGGGCACTACAGCCTGGGACAGTGACAGGTTGAAGATGCCTGCCATCTGGTCAGCACACATTGGCCAGGGATGCCATCTGGGCCGGCGGCTTTGTGAGTATTCATTATTTTGAGAGTTTCTCATGTCGGCCTTGGAGAGCAAAAGCACCTGGTCGTGCGGAGCAGCGAGAGTCTTCCTGGATGGCTTGGTATAGTCTGGCTCTGTATTGTCTTTTTGAGTCCCTAATGGATTTGCAGAGCTCGTCACTGCTTGCCTTGTACGAGTCACACGCCACCGAGTCGTCTGGGTTTGTTCTGCTGACATTGAATGTTGCAGTACGGGCGCTCAGCAGTGTACGCATATCTCCGTTCCTCCAGGGTTTTTGGTTGGGGGTATGTCCGGATTGTTATTGTGGGTATAACATCAACACATTTCCTAATGAAGCCTGTGTTCCTAATGCATATTCCTCAATGTTGATGGATGTATGTGGACACCCCTTCAAATTAGTTGATTCGGCTATTTCAGCCACACCAGTTGCTGACAGGTTTCTAAAATTGACAGCCATGTCATAGACAAACATTGGCAGTAGAATGGCCTTACTGAAGAGCTCAGTGACTTTCAACGTGGCACCGTCATAAGACGGCACCTTTCCAACAAGTCAGTTCGTAAACTTTTGGCCCTGCTAGAGCTGTCCCGGTCAACTGTAAGTGCTGTTATTGTGAAGTGGAAATATATACAGCATACAATGACATTCTAGATGATTCTGTGCGTCCAACTTTGTGGCAACAGTTTGGGGAAGGCCCTCGTGCACAACGCCCCTGTGCACAAAGCGAGGTCCATACAGAAATGGTTTGTCGAGATCGGTGTGGAAGAACTTGACTGGCCTGCACAAAACCCTGACCTCAACCCCATCAACACCTTTGGGATGAATTGGAACGCCGACTGCGAGACAGGCATAATAGCCCAACATCAGTGACCGACCTCACTTGTGGCTGAATGGAAGCCCCGGAGCAATGTTCCAACATCTAGTGGAAAGCCTTCCCAGAAGAGTGGAGACTTATAGCAGCAAAGCGGGGTACTAACTCCATATTAATGCCCATGATTTTGGAATGAGATGTTCGACGAGCAGATGTCCACATACTGATTGAAATACTTTTAGTCATGTAGTGTATTCTCAAAACAATCCTGCAGCATTGGGTCTGCCTCCTCTGTCCAGCACCTCACTGGCTCCCTCTTGAGTCGCTGCTTGTAGGCGAGGAGTAGGAACAGAGAGACATGATCTGATTGGCCGAAGTGGGGGCGGGGGATGGCTTTGTACACGTCACGGATGTTCGTGTATACACGGTCAAGCACGCTGGATCCTCTTGTGGGGCAGGATACATGTTGGTGATATTTTGGGGAAATTAGTTTTAGACGTGCTTGGTCAAAGTCACCCGCAACAATAAAGACTGCTACCGGGTGAAAAGGTTCTTGCTGGCCTGTGATCTTGTACAGTTCGCTGAGTCCCGCCTTGGTGTTTGCTTGTGGCGGTATGTACGCAGCTGTGGTAACACACATGAATTCCCTCTGAATATAGTGGGGTCGGCATGGCGAACTCACCTCATGCCTAACTCACATTTACCTAAGGAGAAGGAAGGAGTGATTATTCAAGTTTATGATGATGTAGGCCTACACACTGTACATTTACATTTTAGTCATTTAGCAGACGCTCTTTTCCAGAGCGACTTACAGTTAGTGAATACATATATATTTTTTTACACTGGCCCCCCGTGGGAATCGAACCCACAACCCTGGCGTTGCAAACGCCATGCTCTGTCAACTGAGCTACATCCCTGCCGGCCATTCCCTCCCCTACCCTGGACGACGCTGGGCCAATTGTGTGCCGCCCATGAGTCTCCCGGTCGCGGCCGGCAGCGACAGAGCCTGGATTCGAACCAGGATCTCTAGTGGCACAGTTAGCACTGCGATGCAGTGCCTTAGACCACTGCGCCACTCAGGAGTATACTGTACAGTGCGCCACTGTACAGTTATAGTAAGCTTAAGGTCAGGTATATTTTGGGTGAAGTATCAAATTTATGCATTACTGGATGTTCATTTAACTCCCAATTGCATTTCCTCTGACTGAAACTTGTCATCTTAAGTTATGGAGGAATACAACAATTCTTTGCTTGAGTAATGAGGGTGGGGGAACTGTACAGTGTGTACGTCAAAAACTTCAATGATTCCCTCTACTCTCCATTGATACTTACTCCTCATTTCCGTTCATTTCCCGCCAAGGACCTGAACATTGGCCCAGGTACTTCTAATACACCGGACCATTTTTTCCCCCGTCGAGGCCCCCACACTAGACCATAATTTTTTTCCCTTCAGGCCCCCATTATTAACCAAATAATGATCATTCTATGCTAAATAAATCTATTTATACACGCCCACGGGCTAAAGATGTTTTCCTCCCCTAGCTCACTCCCCCTTTGAGGATCTGAAATGACTAAATAAAACCAGCTTAAGCTACCTGGAGTGGCAGAGGTTAGAGAAACTGGCCACCTTCCTCTCACAGTGAGTGAGTGAGGCAGAGAAGAGGCAAGATCTGCTTTTCAGATCTAGAAGATCACTTTCACCAGTCAAGTTGTAGTTGGGTAAAGTGGAGTGAACAAGGACAAAGGGGGTGAGTGAGGAGGGGTGGAGGGAGGGGTTCTAATTATCTGGAATGGAACACAGCCTAGATTGTTGCCATTGTGAGGAAGGGGCGCATGCTGACAGGCCCAGTCGCATCCTTGTGGTCTCTCTGGTCCGCTCTGAGTGAAGTTTCCTCAAGGTACAGATCTAGGATCAGCTTCCTCTCACGCAATCCTAACCTTAAACATTCATAGGGAAAATGCTAAACTGACCCAAGATCAGTGTCTATAGGGTAACTTCACCCTATTCTCTGGTCCTCCTGTGACCAGCTGGGAGAACTGTAAATCATTAGGGTTTGTGTGTGTGTGTGTGTGTGTGTTCAAAGCTACTGTTACTTCTCAAACAAACAGACAGACCTTTTTACATTTTCAAACTTTTCTGAAACAACCCCTGAGAAAAACTGCCATTTTCAATCTTCACTTAGAAACACCTGAGAAAAACCTGACAGTAGATGCAAGAAGAGAAGACTGCCTCCACCCCTGTATTTCCCATTAGTAATGAATCATCTGTCTGCATAATGACTTTGTACTGTACGTTGAATAGAAGGCTGGCTGAAAGAACAAAGACACTACAGTATTTTTCATTACACCACACATTACACCACACATTGTCTTTGGTACACACATACACACAGGACGGGAAAAATAACAGATGAGGACTGGAGGAATGTAGTGCTGGCACAGCAAAGAACTTTGTGTTTACGTAGGCCAGAACACAAAATGTCAGGAACAGCTTTCTCAAGTCCTCCCACTGCCAGCACGGGGGTGTGCAAAGATAAATACAGGGACTTACTTGGTTTACACATGATATCCAATCAAATAGGGGGAGTCCCTTAAGATGCTTCAATCTGTACTGGTGCACGTGCACACACACATTCAGTGACTCACTCAAAACCGTAAATAGTCTTAGACTACATGCTCAGACAAGCACACTTGTTGTCTGGCCCCTACTCTGTTACTAGGATATAATATTTTGAAAGTTGAAGTACAAAAACCTGGTCCAACGCTTCAAAGTGTTGTTAACAAAATTAACCTGCATATTAACCTGTGCAGACAAAGACTACAGGCTTCAGTACTAACACATGGGACACATTGTCCAAACTACCCATGTTAACCGTCTGAACCTCCTTAAACCAAGTTAACATTAGAACACTCCCCAGCAATGTATACAAGAATAACTTACTGTGGACAAGTACAATGCCATACAGTAATGAACGCTGATGCATCTTTAGACAGTCGTCTTTTGTCACGTGTAGCCTTTTTTTGTTGACAAATCCATGACCGTTATTTCTCATCACTTCCTCCTATGCTGTTACACAAGTGGTCTCAGAAATGACGGAAGCCTTTGCTCTTGGGATTTTTGCTGGAACACTAAAGGGGCAATCTGGGATTTCAACATCCAATGTCTGAAAGTAAAATAGATGAAAGTAAAGTAGCAAAAGCGTTCTCTTACCGCCATGGCCACTGACTGCATGTTGAGGTCGCAGGGCGGCTTTAGGGCCTTGGGCCGCGTGGCGTACCAGTAGGTGGTGAGGGCGGCGAGGGCGCCCACGCCCATCAGCATGTTGGACGGGCAGGCTGTGCATGTACTGGCGCACATCCTCCAGCTCTGGGATCCGCAGCTGTCTCAGGAGCTCCTGGGCCTGCATCTGCATCTCTTCTCTCTGCTGTCGAGAGAGAGAAAAAGGAGAGAGAGAAGAGGAGAAAAGGAAAAAGAGAGAGACATTTAGTGTAACACACTTACATATCTGTAGTCTTTGGGCATGAGGGAGAAATAAAAAGTTCAATTTCCATACCAGACACCACACATCCATCCCCCCTAGCTACCCCCTCAATATGTAAAGACATGAAAGAACTGCATAGGGGAAAGCAATAATCGGCACAGGAGGACTAGTACCCGGTTCCATTTTCCCACACTGCATACTGAGGACTGAGCACATTTTGGGTGACATGTTTGACTGCAAGGAGCTTTGGTTGAAGGTGGAGCTACACTATTATTACCAACATATTGTTTGTACCAATCTTATCCCCTTGGTTCCGCAAACATTAAAGTAGTAGGTAGTAGTGGAAGTGGTTGGTCCTATTACTCTCAAATGGCTTCCTTTCCTTTGTCCTCACTCATCTACAATAACTAGACGGCTGAAAGCGACAGTAATAGTAGGCTTCCTTCATCTCATACAATCTTAGACTAGTGCAGCTGACAGAAATGACACTAGAGGAAATCACTTCAGAACATTGAGACAGAGAGCCACACATTTCATGAAAAATGTAAACAAGACAGGAGAGAAAGGGTTTAGTGCAAAACCTCACCGAACTGAAACCAAGGGAGGAAAATATAGCTCCTTGTATTATATTATATTATTTTCCCATCACCATACACTTCACTTCCAAATATAATGAATGCCTTAGGGGAGGCAATCTGACACTCAAAACACTCCACACAGGTTTCCATGGCGATATCAAGACACTCGCAAGACGTGGTGACATTTCCTGTTTGGAGTGCTTTGATAGTGAGCTCACTGGAATCCCCTCTTTTCTCCCTGCACACCAGGCCAGGGCCCTGTATGAACCCTTCCTTGAAGTCAGCATTGATCTCATGATCCGGCATGGTTTAATTGGTCCAAGCAAAGGGGGTGGATTGATAGTCCAGGGCGTGAGGCAACATGTGACAACTGTGCAAAGGGGTGTGGATACTTTCTACAGCAGGGATCATCAACTAGAATCAGCCGCGGGCCGATTGTTTCTTGAGCGGCTGGTCGGGGGGCCGGAGCATAATAAATACATTTGTAGACTGCAAATTGACCACAAGAAGCCCAAACAGATAATATTTTACTAAAACATTTCAAACCTTGCTTACCTTTGTATACCCATACTCTCTATTATGCGTGGGAATACTTGGGAACAAATTTCCTACATTTCCTGATGTTATTACAGTCTTATGTCCAACAATGAAAATGCAAAAAAATATATCAATAATTTTTAGAACAGTATTACCTCAAGGAAGGAAGGAAGCATTTTATAGTAAAAGGCCCTGAGGCTCTAGTCACTCAGTCTCCACATGGAGACCAGTGTGACCGTGACAGGTCACAGTCTGAAGGACAGTCACCTCACAACATGTTCTCTCAATGTCAACAGCTCTTCTGTCAATACAATAACATTCAGCCAAACGGAAAGTTGAATTACTTGTCTATACATCACCATAAACCAACACCTTTTAGCATTAAAACCGTCAAGGGTCTTTAAAACTAAAGACGAATACACTTCTACTCTCATTTTCCTTCAATTGTGACAGAATATATTTTGATGAAGCTGTTAAAAAAAAAAAAAATCACCCTTCTTTGTAGGACAGAGGTTTCTTACCATTGGCAACTGCACTACAGTCTCAAAGGTGCTTCATCCTGTCCCCCCATAGCCTCCATAACAAATGGCACAATTACAGAGATCAGAGTGAGAGAGGTAGAGGTCGCCCTATGCTCTTTGCCCCTAGACTGCCTGCCACTATTGATGACTGAGAACGGGTATTTCAACAGGGAGACGGCTCAATTTTGACTTCCAAGAACGGTGGCCATCACATTTAGCTTAAGAAAATATTCCAAATAAAAATAATTTCTGATTAAACTTTAATCTAATACTTCACCTGGTTATATGAATCATGAGTCAAAAAGCAATTGATCACTTCAAATAGACATTAATCTGTATTTCAAGTCAATTGAATTCAAATGACAAAAATAGTTTTGAAAGACTACGTAAGGGAGAAGATTGTTTTGTCCTGAGGTTTCAAGCCGAGGGCTCGTCAAATTATTAGACATCAGTGCACAAATATCCACCCTTCGTACAAAAATATGTTCAGCCACCCTTGGCCCTTAGGCCGCTGCCCATTGGCCTTACATTTGACATCTCACATACTTCTACTATTATCCCTCAAGTAATATGTCCCAAGAGGCTTTGTTCCAACTTCTGCTGTCGATATCGGACCACTAAAACTGCCCACTTGGAACAGAACGTTTTGCTAAACTTCACTCACTTTGCGATCAGCAAATAGCTTACACAATTAATAACTAAACGCTGTGTGTGTGATGATGCATTAGGTTTGACAGCCAATTTGAAATTGATAAACAAGGATGAAAGTGTGGCCCATAGAGCAAGACCAAAATTAATATTGTATGTGTAAAGCCTGTGTCATTGACCAAAATTCCATTCTAACTAATAATTTTACCTTAGGTTTGTCACTACACTTGATCAATTCCAAGCATGAATAAAATACAATGAATTATTCAAACTCCCGTTCCTTGCAGATGCTAGGAACTAGGAAGCTGATGCAGGGGTGAAAAAAAAAAACATTATGCGACGATCATTGAAAAATAGCCACATAAAGAAGAAACAAGGAGATAAGAAAAAAGTCTAACTGCTCTATATCAGTATAGCCTACAGTAGGAGGTACCTTTACCTTGTATCCCTGAAGTAGTAGCAGTTGCTCCCAGAGGGGACTGAGCTACAGTAGACCTTTTAGTTCTCACAACTGTGAACAGCAGGGCGACGCCCCCTTTCAAACAGCAACACGGCGCATAAGGCGCTGACCCTCTTCTGAGCCACTCATTGGAGCTCCGCTCAAGGAGGCAGTCATTGAAAACTGTGTGTATGCGCACGCATCTCTGTATGCCGGTCTGTGTTACGACCACGAATAGGGCGGTGACTGTCATGGAAGTTTTGAAGTGACCATCGGTATAAAAAAATACTATTTGTAAATAATTCAATAGATTCTCCTCTCCTTCAATCCTGACTGCATGTGCTGCTGCTTCGGGGCCGGGGGGTTGCCTAAGCAACCGAAGACTCAAATCAGAGACCGTTCTGTGTTTACTTATAGCTAAACCACAGTCCCTCATCTTTTTTAATGCCCGGCCGTCTTCAGTCACTGGTTCGTTCCACAACACCAAATTCTAAAAACAGTCAATTTTTTCCCTCCTCTTTCCTTATAATTGGTTTTTAGATGTGAAACAGCCTTTAATTTTTTTTAAAGTTTGTCGACTTGAAAATAAAGTTTTATTTTCATGATGTATTCATCCCTTATCGTCGGTTCCACGATTATAGAATTACGTGCCAGCCCTAACCACGAAAGGCCCCAATAGATCCCCATCATAGTGATTGAGGATATAGTCCAAGATGCTAATGTTGCTAATGGCAGATCCATCACATCTGAAACATGTTAATGACGAATAATCTAATCTCACGTAAAGAGGCCCTGAGATAGACCATTCCCGCACTGGTAGCTTGGCACACACACACACTGCCAATGACAGGGAAATGAGAGATTGTAACAAGGAAGAGGTACAGAGGGTAAATGTTTCTGTATTTACTTAACAACCTCCAGATATGGAACACCTCTTAGGTCAAACAAAATGGTGGAATTCTTAAGACTAGGGCAAACAAGGAGTCGGTTTGTAACTAACCACAGCCGAATGCTCGCTATACTTAAAACCATTGCCATCTCCCTCTCTGTTATCTTTGTTTCCATACCAACCTGTTCACTCTCCCAAGTGTGTGGTATGTGCATACAAGCGTCTGTGTATGCATGTATATACACTATACACATGCGATACATATACGTGTGGGTGTGTGTATGCCGGTCAGCTGGCCGGGGAGAGCAGGGACATGCCACAGGCGTCACATGGCTTGGCTGGGACTCGTTTCCAGGCTAAAGGTAACCCTCCAATGCTGCTCCCCCTCGAGCCAGCCCCTCCATAATTGGCCTGGGAGGATGACGGGCCAATGGCAGCGCTCGCCCACCAGTCACCCCACTCAGCCAGAAAACGGAAGACATTAGAAAAAAACTGTGCGGGGGGGGGTGAGTGTGGGGGCCTAGAGGGGTCACAATCCAGCTGGTCTGTTTGACACTGTAGAATGCACGGAATACAGCGCTGTCAACAGCTAAAAAGAAAGTGGTGATGTGGTTCAGTCATTTCAGGGCAAGACAAGTGCATGAGTCGGACTATCTAGGTTTATACAGAAACATTCTTGGAGATCCCCTGGATATGATGTGCGATGATAATAAAAGATTGAGTATAACTTACTTACTAGTTACTTTTACTAACTTAACCTGAGCCATGTTCAAATATAAAATTGCAAAAACAGCCTGGAATTCAGGTTGTTAAATGGCAAGCTACTTGTTGACTACTTTAGTACTTGTTTGTGCCCTGTACATTTTCAAAGTTTTGAATACACAGCAACAAACAAAGTATGCACATACAGGACAACTGTAGGGGATTGACACAAAGACCATTTCCAAGAGAAGGCTCAACTATACTGAACAAAAATAGTCCCATGTTTCATGAGCAGAAATAAAAGCTCCCAGAAATGTTCCATGTGCAGGAAAAGCTTTTATTGCTCTCAAATGTTGTGCACACATTTGTTTACATCCCTGTTAGTGAGCATTTCTCCTTTGCCCAGATAATCCATCCACCTGACAGGTGCAGCATATCAAGAAGCTGATTAAACAGCATGATCATTACACAGCACCTTGTGCTGGGGACAATAAAAGGCAACACTATGCAACAGATGTCTCAAATTTTGAGGGAGCGTGCAATTGGCATGCTGACTGCAGGAATGTCCACCAGAGCTGTTGCCAGAGAATTGAATGTTCATTTCTCTACCATAAGCCGCCACCGTCATTTTAG